GACATAACTGGTACGCAAGTACGCATTCACCTTTAAAAGCAATTAATGTAACAACGCAACAAATTTTAACCTCTATCTTGCAAATGAAGTACGAATTAACATGTAAAGGTTAAAATGCATAATTTCTTGTCATATCAGCGCAAATGCACATGAAATACGTACGCATTCACGCTGTTAGAACAATCGACTGATTTCCGCACGTATCGCTATGTCAATCCCTGCTCACTGCTGTAGCTACCATCGTCACATGACGACAGCAGCTGGTACAGGGTAGGAGACAGTGAGAGTAGCACTCTGTGCTCTCGCCCAAACAGCCATCGCTGTGGGGCTTTAACCTCTGCACGGACTCCCTCAGTGGCATTGATTGAGAATGACATGTTGACGTCGTGAGGCACCGTCCCCGGACAGCCACCCTGCCTTGACGCATGCTCCGCAGGGGAGTGGTCATTTACTCACCCCGAAGCCCCTGGCAGGGTGGCCGGTGCCACGCCGGCACAGCTGGCAGTGTGGAGCTCGCCTCCTGGCCTGGCAGGCGTCCCCGCCACACGCGGGCCCCCAGCCCCGGCCGGCTTACGTTCACAGAGTCTCCCCAGGGCAGGCAGATAGCTGGAGACCTGGCAGGAGACAAACGGCACTTGATGTAGTCTGGAGCAGCCAGCTGTCAATCATCCAAGATGGCCTGTACATGATAGGAAAGCAGATTCCCTACAAACACATACCAGCCCACACTAGATGTGACAAACTCCTCAATGCCTCAGTTACCAGGCCATAACAGCAACATTTCTGAGAAGCTGTAATTCATAAGGGTGAGGCAGTGGCTCGGTGATTAGCACAGGAGGAATTCAGTGATTATAAGTGATTGTGTGTTTGTGCTCTGAAATGCGCAGGCAACCTATGCAGGGAGCTCACTGCTTTATGTCCTACACTTCCTGGGAAAAGCTCCAAGCTGTACTGGGTAGGTAATTATGGAGAACGGATGCATGTGACCCATAAAAGTGACCAAGCTGCTCAAATCCCACAAGCATAAACTTGATATTCAACAGAAATATGGGCCACTTCTCCCAGAAAATGCCATTTTCATGTAAACTTTTACATCAGATTAGTTTATCCATTCCTCCACTCATTTTCAAAAGAACCTACCCAAGTGATAGACGCTATACTGTACGTCATTTTATAAATCTGCACAATGAGAAAAGATTCCCAATTTCCTGCAAAAACGAATGCTGAAAATACATATCACTCAAAACATAAACATGCACCATCATTTCACAATAAGAAATAATGTAACAAGCCAAATTAAAAATATGGTTTTGATATGGCATTTGACATCAACATGTGCTTAACTATGGTATTTCATAACAGATTACCGTTCATTCATAACTAGAGATTAAATTCAGTTATGCAAGGCATGTTAGATTTTGCATGCAAGTTATTGTCATGCTTGAATTATACATGACAGTTCCTTAAGGAACTTCAATTAACAACATACTACAGAATATAAAGACATATAGTAGCTATACATTTATGGCAAAATCACCATCAAGAGCAGTTAAGAAAAAATAGAGGAAAAGCAATGCTTAATAAAGTCACAAAGTCCTGATTAGTTCTTTTTCTATTAATACACACACTAGCTTTGAAAATCATCTGATAAGCCACCATTTCCACAGGACAGGTCTTGAGGCCATTTCAGTGCCCAACCTTAATATAATGTTTTATTTCAAAAGTTCATGGGAATCACTGTAGAGACAAGAGGAATGCACCGGGCTGTCCAGCCAGCCTAATTTGTTTGTAGATGTTGATAGGAGCTTGGGGAAGCTGCCGCTGATTACAGAGCAGGAGCGGCTCTGAGATCAGCAGGAGGAGTTCCGGAATGCATAACAAACAGCTTGCATCTGGCACAGAACACCGATGTGCCTTTCATGAAGACGGCCTCCTGCGAGTTTGACGTCCCTCTTCTGACAGCGTGACTCCAGCTGCCCCGCCGATGACACCTGCGGGGGCCTCCGGGACCGGGCCAGCTGCAGGCCCACACCTGTCCCATTCCTGGCAAACGCCGTCCGTGTTCCCCCTCGCTAAAAAAATCTTTACTCTCTCTCATACATGGTTAACCTGGCTTCCCTGCATAGTTTCTATACATCTGGTTAGTTGTGACAGAGCTGGGTCTCCCTTGAGCAGCCATTTGAGAAAGCATAAGCACCACTGGACAGGTTGGAGATGTTATGATGATGATGTGGTGAAGAGTGCTACTCTGACATGGATGTCAACAGAAGATACATCATGATGCTGCAACATCAGCCACACAAACATCTGGTAAAAAATGCACATGCTTAGTTTTTACATTGCTGATTTAATGGGGAGAAACAATTGAAACAATTGCTTTTAATATACCAGCTCTACCCCACTGGCTACATAATGCACAACTTACAATTTTTCGTAGGGTTAGAGGTTCTGTTCCCACGGAAACACCATTTCTGCAGCACATACACCTGTATATGGAATCAGCAGTGACCATCTTCAGTCTCAGTGACGGCATGTTGGGAACAAACTCCAGTAAAAATTCAGGAGGATGATCTACAAGAAAAGAAAAAAAAAACAGTATAACTCAATGACATTATAGGTGTATTGCTGCTACTCAGTGACTCTAAACTTTGTAGGTTATGACAGTAGATTAAGAAGTTTCACATCATGGGCATAGAGCAGGGGTGTCAAACTGCAGTCCTGGGGGGCCGGAGCCCTGTGTAGCTTAGTTCTTTCCCTGTTCCACCACAAATGATTCAGCTCAAGAGCTGTGTGGTAATTAGCACAAGGAGTTGAATCAGGTGTGTTAGACGAGGGGAAACCCAAAAATGTGTAGGACTCCGGCCCCCCAGGACTGCAGTTTGACACCCGTGGCATAGAGGTAAAAAGGGCCCATATTCATAAACACATCAATACTATTTAATGAACCTATGTAATATCCTGTCATCTCCGTTCCAGTCCCAAGATGTCCCAAGTGAAATATACACACCTTGGCATAATATGGAAATGTGCTCAGCCAGATCTTCCATGCCCTTGTCCAGCAGGCTTTTATTTAGTTTACTGTGTTCCTGACACCAGTACTCAACCACCACAGCCAAGGTGTCATGCAAAGTACACAGAAGGCGCTGCTTCCAGTCCTAAACAAAAGCGAAGCATGAATCAGGAACAATTCAACTACACTTATAGACTTACAACAAGACAAAAAGCAATTGCATTTTCATGTGGAGTTCAAACGGAGCGAAGTACCTTACATACGTAAAGCCCAATTTTGGGCAATATAATACAGAAGTAGGAAACACTAATTTTAAGTACATTGGTAACACTCGAAACAACTTCACGATGTCCCAGTGAATGAGACATAATTGCTGAAATTTTAATAATAATGATAAATATGTAGAGTTTGTGAATATGAACATCTGCCTTGCATAAACTGCACAAATAAATGAATCATTGTCCTCTTGTCCTCTAGTTATGCATCAAGCGTTACAATATAACACATCCTCATACAACATTCAGCTTACGGTATTTGTTATAAAACTTACGTCTTCGCCATTTGGCAATAGTAATCTGTGCATGGATAACGTTAAGCGCACTCTACAGACTGCTGTGTAGTTATACATACATACACACACTTCAGTATTACATACTGTATCTTTCTCTGTGGACAGGACGCCGTGACAATACTGACCTCAGCAGATGACAGAGCGCAGCTGGTAGTATGGATCAGTAACCCTGCCAACTGCTGGACTGTCCTGCTACCAAGAGTGGATCTCTGCCAAATGTTCCAAAATGTACGAACTAGAACAGAAGACCGTGACCCTCCAGATTGCCTGAAGGAAATCAAAGACAGTCTTATTAATATATGAATCTATACTATTTATCATGTGCCTGTCGTTTCATGTGTGATTAAATAACACAATGTATATGAATTTAAAGTATTTTAATAAAATTAAAGGGTAATGCTGAGTGCATTGCATTTATATAAGCACAGAAAAGCAGATAAAAGTTGATGACTTGGGAACTTCTGTCATACCCTTTGCTGGAGGCAAAGAGCTCATGTCGGAAGATTGTGAGCAGAAAAGCCTGCAAGTCACAGAGGAACCTGATCAGCTCTGGGGAAGGTGAGCCAGGAAGCAAGTGACAGCACTCCCCGCTGGACACGCACCACCTAAGGAGTGGGACAGTCGTGCACAGTCAGCAAATTAAATAGTGGGTTATACCATAATATTACATACGCTGTCATTTAGAAGTCGAAAGCGCATCATAGAAGGGCAAGAATGACGCTGTTTCACATTTGCTTTTGTTTGTACTCATCATCCTCCCAAACATATTTTCCCATATTCCTTAACATTACAAAAATAACCTCATCAGAATCCTCATGGGAAACCTTGCGCTAGCCAACGTGCAACAGTTAATGTCTTCTGCCTGTCAGCTGAAAAAGATGCAATGCAAGACAAAATTCTGAAGAACTCTATACCTCACTGATGTCTCCAGGAGGGCCCAGGTTCCTCCCTTGCACTGAGGGCACTGCAGGATGTGCAGAAAATACTTCACCACAGTGGGCGACCCCCAAGTGGGATTGTTGCGTAGGATGTTGTGCAAAATATTGATAAAGGTGCTGAAAAAGTATGGCTTAACTTCACCCTGAGGAAGGAAACAGGGTTACAAGCAGTAAACACTGACAGGTTCTGCCATTGTTTTTGAGGGTGAGAAAATGGAAAATAATACTGCGGCTTTCAGCAGTGCTTGGGTTACCTGCAGAGCGTGATGCATCAGGGAGCACATGTATTGTGGTGATGGAAGGACTCCAGGGTGCAGCATTCCCTGAATTTCCTCTAAAGCCTCGGTGAGGAGACCACATTCGATAAGGCTGTGCACATTGCTGAAATCCACCACGGAACTCTGAAAAGAGAGACACGAATGAGGATGTGTAGCCTCTGGAGATTCAGCTAGCCTTGTCACTCAGTGTCATTTGTCGTCCGAAGCCCGGTCCCAAGCGTGCCACTGTTCCTGAATGCAAACTTGGAGGACGCTCCGGGGGAATGCCGGAAGAACCAGCTTTCCCTTAACAGGTCTGCCAATGATGCCCTACAAACCCTGTGACAAGTCCATAAAATGGAAAGCCCTGTCATGTAATTGTCATGTAAATCCATGCATTAATATGCTTAACACCACCGTACCTGAGACGGATGCCCTGTAGTTGCGTGGCTCACATAATCGATGGAAACAAGCCTTTCGGGGAGCTGCAAAAAAAAAAAACATTAATATCATCCTTTTCAGATGACAATAATGACAGCTCATTTAAACGGCAATGTCAATTTTCATAAAGGGGTGAATACGAACTTTGATGAAACAATCAAGGTAACTGAAGCATTATTAAAAGAAAAAAAATAATGCTGTTCTCACCACAAGTTTTGAAACGTAATCTTTCAGCTGAATTTCTAATTCGGAGAAAAGCTGTGTATTATCCACGGGAGAGCTGGATAGCACTTCTGAAATCACAGGCCATGAGCTCTGTAAGAAAAGCGGTACAACTGCCTGAATAAAATGCATGTCATACACAAAGTATACTCAAGGTAAGGAGAATGCTACAGTTCCAGAGTGGGACTAAATGCACTTCGGCCGTTTATCTCCAGCGTACCCCAAGTAAATGTTGAGCAATGTAATCCAACGAGTAGCATGGGGCACCAATCTTAGAATCTGTGTTAATGTTACCCGTAAACACATGCGTCACAGACTGATCAGATGCGCATGAGGAAATCCTGGCACCTCCTGCCATCAAGATCCTGAAAAAAGAATCAAAAGGTATTTTTTTAAGAAAATAAAACTGGAAAATGATATGAGGGGATATGATATGTGGCTGAACGGAGAGAGCATGGTGATAAAGAACAGAAGCATAGCAAAGCTTGGTTTCATTTGGATTAAGGAAAACCTCCATTCTTCTGACTGAGGAGAAGACGCTTTGGAAACTTTAAAATTAATATCATAAGAAGATTTCTGCCTCCCCTTATATCTGAGACCTGAGGAATATATTATTTTCATTATGAGTTTCCACACTTTATGTTGCATTGGGATGATTTACAAGACAGTAATACCAAGTAGTACTCTATCCTATCTTGTACATGACAAAAATGAACAATATCCTACAATAATTGTAGCATTGTCCAATGAGAGGGCGAGGAAAATCTCCTGTATGCTCCGCAGTAACAAACAGAAATAAGGTCATGTCTACTGAACCCGGCTTTTTGTATGATAGTGACCCGATTATCATAAATATCTAGGAAGTAGAGAGACATGAAAAATTAATTACATAGTGTGTAGTCCCAGGTCAATATGCAGGCTTTTATCTTGTTCCTTGTTTTTATGCAGATTCTCATGAAAAAATTATATCAACCCACTAACATGATCCACAAGGTAGAACATCACTTTAATAATGATATTGGTCAGTAATTTATCATGATTTTTATATATGAGTGGTCAGTGCTTTAGGATGAAAGGCAGGTAGTATTGAAGCCGGAATCCCACCCATGGCTTGGCGCACTTCTGATCACAGGTAGGCTACTTAGTGGTTCTGAACTGCCCATAGTGTGTAACTGCATTAGAGCATCCTGTCCTGTGATTACTGGGACAAGCTCCAAGCTCACCATGCTGTTCTACTGGATCAGCGGTATGGATACAGATGGATGTCATGCTCAGAAGGATAAACAGTGTACAATGACAGCAAACCATTGTTATTCTTGGTGGTGTTTGCCACTCCAAACCTTTCCAGGCATCCTACCTATAATGCTAATTCAGAAACGAAAAATGCTTATTTCATACTGCATTTCCATTAGTACCAATAAGCATTAGCAATTCGATATCAGAATCTGTATGTCTCTGCAACCAAGAAGGAGAATCCGACCGTTCGAAGATCTCTCTCCTCTTGCGGTCATCCATGAGCAAGACAGCTCTCCAGCCCTGGAAGGCACCGGAAACAGTTCCGCTGGCCACCCTTGTTCTCCACATCCGGATGGGTCTGGTGGCCTCAGGAGCCTGACTAATGAAATCCAGCTCGTAGGCCACTTCGGGCAGCCACTTCCCATTCCTCACACTGTCTATCACATACTGCGGAGTGACAATCCACTTCCCTGAGAGACGGACCACACAGACAGACAAAAGAATGAGAGCCAAGCCCAGAGCAGGCTAGTGGCCAGTCACTGGTTTTGCACTTCTGTTCTTTAGCTACAAGAGTCTAAATAATCTCACCGATTTAAAGTATCAACAGTGAATCCATGTTTAACACTAAGAGACGTATTCAAGGGCAACTCACCACCTGCACAAGCAGCCAGGAATTTTTCACTGGCCAGTGTACAATGGGCAATCAGATGAGTAGCTCGACCTTTATAGATCTGAAAGAGATACAACCCATAACCACGTTTTAAAAAGAACTCGTAGCTAGATTATATATATGATTTCTTCTGATGCCAGTATGCAGAGTAATTCTAACTCATATTGACAGAGAGCAATATTTTCCAGACTGGTTCTGGGGAATCTATCACGCTGACTCAGAACTGCAGTGACACTCATCAAAAGTACCCAAGCTTCACATCATAAGTAATTGAATAACAATTATTTACAATCAGCGCTAAATGAGAAGCTGGTGTCAAATGAAAAAACTGGTGCATTACATAAAGCATACAGCAGCTTAAGGACACATCCACTCATATTAATACTGTCATTCAAATGCTGTGGGCAGTAAATGTACAAGGCCTATCATACAGATCTTTCCAAAGGCCATGACACTGCAACAGCATTTAATTTACTAGGTATTTAATAAGGGTTCATGCTATATGATTTCCTCAAGTTAATAACCTCTCTTAAGCTGTGGAGAAAAGGAAGGGGAAAAGGTTAAGAACTTTATAGTGCATTTTTGTGCTCAAGGGGTTTTAATCTGAAGATAGAGAGTGTACAGACTATAAAAGGACGCAATTGAGGGCAGAGATAAAATTAAAGAGGCAATAATATATTTAGGCATCAGAACCAATTAGGTCATTTAAAAAAAAAAAGAATCTCCAGAAGCCATTCATCTGAATAAAGTTGATGACAGTTGCACTGCATACTTCTGAAGAGATTTAAAATTAAACTTACCGCTAATTAAGTCATTCTAAATATGAATGTCTCTACTAAAAGAAACTTCGATGCATTCGGAGTCGGGGGCCTTAAAATAACGGCGATGCGAAAATTGTCCGGCGTGACCCAACGTCACCAGAGACTCAACATTAGAAAACTAGAGGGCTAGATTCAGGAATGAGGTTTACAGTGAAATGGCAAATCACATAAATACTCACAGAGCCACCAATGTAGCTTCCGCCCAACTTATGAATTCCTCTGAGTAGTTTTCCTTTTATTTGTGGGTTTTTGATCCCAGTGATTTGGAAGGTAAATGTTTTCTCCACCATCCTAAGACAAGCAACTGTCAGCAAAGTGATTCGGTCTTCAAAAACTTATCAGCAGTTATTAATTCTACGGAGACTTTCAAGTGGCATGGCTGTTTTGGACTGTCAACGAGAAACAAGTACAATAAAAATGAAAGCAACCCCACCATGATTTCAAAGAGGAACTTTCGCAGGAAAGATATTGAGGAGTTTACGACCTTAATGCAAATAATTAGGTTCAAATGATTTTAATAAAATTCACGCTGAAACACAAATCGTATAAAAGTTTAACATATTACTGATATCAAACTGCTACTACAGCCATGATTCTCTGGCGGGAAACATAATTATTGTAGTAAAAAAAAAAACATGGCAGCAATCAAGACAAACGTTGAAATTTTACCTAAATAGCCACTTTCAGTACCGCTACGTACGGCTACAGTTACATTTCTCAAAACTTATTTACTTCAGGTATAGGAGTTCAGCGCCAAATTTCTGAACATGTCCGCATAGTGTGGTCCATACCATTCACAAAGCATCCGGGGTTTTCAGCTTTAAGGTACATTTATTATTATGTACGAAAAAAGAAATCTCTATTTAATGTAATTTATGTAACAGTATTTCAGCGGCGATACAGGATAAGAGTAATGAATAAAAGATTTTGAATAAAGCAAGGTACAAAATCCACCCCTGCCATTTTACGCCAAGTATTGCGTTTATAGGGATACAATGGGTTTAGGACACTTCTTTTCAGTTATGGGGGGAAATTCATAGCAGTGTAATTTTCGGTATTGGAAGAGTTGATTGTTTGATCTAATAAACGTTATAAAACATAAGAGAAATTATTAATTTTACAATTTCAAAGTAGATATTGTACGTTTTGTAGTTATATATTTAAATAATAACGTAGTAAGGACAGCTACTGCCCTATATATTGCTGGAGTTGTACCATTCGGAACCGCGGAAGTTAATCAGACGCTGCTTCCGGTTGGTTGTTATAGACGCTTACCTGGTTGAGCTGTTATTTTTTCGTAACGATGGCGTTATGCCTGGCATGTGTGTCGTTTTGGGATTTCGTTTAGCAGTTTGTATTCGACAAAGGGGTGGTGTGTGAAAAATGTTACTGGCTGACGTTACAAATCCCAATGTGTAAGTTTGCAAATATTAGTAAATGTGCTGACATTTATTCAAAAATGAGTTCTGATAAGAAATTAACTAGTTGACGTTAGTACATATCCAAATTAGCTCATTAATAGCGGTTTTTTTCCTATGCTGAATTTAGCAGTTAGACAGTAACTAGCTAGCTAGATTCCTTGTCCACTAGAGACGTGGCATGAGAGCATTATTGTAATGACCAATACTTTTGTTTTTGAACTCGACGTAAAATCCCACTGTATAGATTAGTCGAGTCTGTATAACACGTAGATTTCGCAAGCTGATCTGCTTTTGATAAAATGGATAAAATCATGGCCTGTACATTTCCGTGAGTGTTTCGTGTGGTTGGTTTTTTCGGAAAGAAATATCAGACTTATACATTTAATTTAACCTTGCAAAACAATCCAAAAAGTCTAGATAAGGACACCACTCTACGTTGTAATTGTGTGGGTGTCTGCATGTGTATTACATAAATCAATTAAATTAAACTTAGGAGTTGTAATATAGACCAATGGTTGAACATCACTTTGAAACTGACAGATGTTTTATAATTGATACATGTAGGCGGTCATTTTCTTATTGAATAACTTATAATGAAGCAATGTGGTTAACGGTGTAATAGTTGCTTTATTATTATATTCTGTATTCTGTCTATCTTGGTAATCTGATCTAAAGACATGCAATTAGGTAAACTGGTTTCTCCAAATTACTCATAGCATGTATCATAGCATGTATGCGCACTGCGGTGGACTGACTTATTATTACAATGATTTGTTATTTTTCATGTTTAATTTATGACTCAAGAGCTCATCCTCAATAAAAAGCCTTTTATGAATCGTTTCTCTTTGGATTATCTAGGACTTAATTTTATCAGTGACTGTCCTATGATAATGCCTGATGACTTCTAACATTCTAGCTTTTTTAATACTTACATTTGTTTATGATTTTTCCATTCTCACTTTATTGTTCTCATTTATAATTGTGTTGAGACTATATTGTGACATTTTTTACATCTTTATTAAGACCAGTTTCTCCTAATCTTTTCTTGGGTTTTAATAGTTTTCTGCAAGGAAAACAGAATAGAATATTGTGAACAGTGTAGATTATTCAGTACACAAATGTTGTATGTATTATTCTTATTATAACCGGATGCAGCTCGTGTAATTGTTTTATTTAAGGCTTTTTCATCTGGTGAAAAACAGTATTTATATAGTGTTTTTTTTCTTAAGGAATGCATTAAGTTATGAATAACGGTGTTAACAGTCTAAAATAGTGTTATGGAATAAATTGTTCTGCAAAAAATTACAAAACTCACAGACTGAGTTACAATTTTGCTAGAAACCATTAAAAATTGCACTGTCATTGTATGAAAATACTGTGTAATGGTAAATGATGGTCCTTAAGCAATGTACACATATTTGCTTCCAACCCTTCATTAATACAGGAGCATAACTTCTAGCAAATTACATAAGTGTAGTGGTGCATGTAAGGAAATCAGTCAAAAACATGGTCATGAAGATATATAAATCTGAATTCTTTCTATTATGAACACAACCACTGTAACTAAATTATTACCATAAAAGTATTTAAACATACTCTACTTTGACTATAAATGAGTGCTACTACTTTGAGAGATTAAAGAATTTAGCTCTCAAGTTTTTCCAAATTTCGTCCTTCTGGAGAAGTATTGAGAAAATTGATTTACACTGTAAGACTACATTTAGTTCTTATAATGCTAATTAGGATCAATAGTCCCACAACAAGAACCAGGCATTTTTAATGCCTTCATATATTTATATCACATACGGGCTGTGATGTGTATCCTTTGATTGACTCGTGCCACACCTTCCTGTATAATTACATTGTTGGCTTTCCAGTCCCACAATTGAGAATTGACACATCTCAAGAAGTCACTGTTTAAACTCCTCTGCAAATAGAGCAATGAGCCAGTCAAGCCAAAATAATAAAATACTGGCTTAACTGTAGATATTGTCAAGTGGAAAAGTAATATTTGTCCAGCTAGACAGCTTCCTTTTGTGCAGAGTAAATGAATGTTGAGATTCTGTCTCCAGTTGAAGACTCCTGTGTCAGGAAGGTACTGAAAACTGTTTCTAGTTTGACAAGGATTATTAAAATCGGGTGAGATGAAGGAACAGGAAGTGGGAGAAAGCAAAATTGACATTGACATTCTCCATTATATTCCACTTGACTCAAGATGACTGTGTTGATATCATAGATCCCAAATACTGGATTTGCTGTTGGGATATGTTAAACGTGAAGTGCTCACATCCGCGGAAAGTAGAGATTGCCTATTTAAAATGAGAGCGAACAGCCTTTTTTGTTAACACATTGCAGTAGTGCTGTGTTTAATGCCGAACCTATGCATTTATTATTAGGGCCACTGCAGATTATATTGTACTTCATCTCGTGAAAAATAACAATAAGCTGGAATGCATTTATTACATGTGACAATCACCACTGTTTCAGTAAATGCGACTGGTGCCATTGATTTATTACTTCTGATGGCATCTTGTTTTATATGTTATGTGCTGCATATAATTCTCAAGGTGTTTCCTCAGCATCTAGTCTGATCAGTGTGGCATCTGATGGATGCTATGCTTTCTTTTATTAAGCTTTTCACATGGTTTCTGCATAAGCATCCCCCCCCCCTTATTTCTACAACCAGGTATCTTCCATTTGATGGACATGGAGTGGCAGTGGGAATTCTGTCAAGATCATGCCTTTATGGACTGTGTCAGTTCTGTGGTACCAAGAGAGCTGGATGTTCAGCAGCTGCTTCATGACACTGAGGAGAAGCTGAAGCTCAATGCCTGCTGGTCAGTGTTTGTGTTGTAGCTGTTGCTATCCTGTTCCTGCTATGTTTTCATTTGTGTGGGCTGGCCATGGTTTGGTGTCCATGGGTGACACGTTAGCACTTAAATGGAGAGGGAACTGCTCTATAATCTTTCTTCTGTCCAGGAGCAGAGAAATGTCTAATGTTGCACCAGCTTTCTAGGTTTTGTGTGTGTGTTTGCGTGTGTGTGTGTGTGTGTGTGCGTGTGTGTGTATTTTTGTGTGTGCAATTAAAAGATTAAGACACAGAACTTGACTTTAATGACGATGCTTTCCTGGCGTGTTCTGCCTGGGGTTGGGAGTGGCCTGTCTGGAGGAGATGTTGTGGTGCCTGATTGCAGCAGGTATCCCAGGTAGGACTTCTAAGCGCAACATGTTGGAATGAACCACTGGCTGTAGGTGCTCCAGGATACTGTCTCCTGAATTACATGGGCAGAATTCTTTATAATTTTGCCACCAGTCCTCCTCATCTGCCACCAGTAGGTCCAGGGTCAGTCCTGTGATGGAGCTGGCCTTTCTGAGTCTCTTCAGGCGTTTGGCAGAGCCTCAACTGATGCTGCTTCCTTAGCAGGCTACAGCACAGAACAGCACGCTGGCCCCTATGGGCTGGTAGAACATCCTCAGCAGCTCACCACACATCAAAAGACCTGAGTCTGCTCTAGCCTTTCTTATACAGGGCCTCTGTGCTGTCTGCCCAGGCCAGTCTGTTGTTCAGGTGGAGCCCCAGGTACTTATAGCCCTGCACCATCTCCACTTCCTCCCCCTGGATGGTAACTGGTCTCAGGGGCTCCTTGTCACGCTGGAAGTCCACCACCACATATTGTGTGTAATAGAATCACCATTAAATATGGTGGAGAATGGATGGACATACTTTCTAAGCAATGTTTTGGTAGGCACATTATTTTATATGCGACTGTATTTCATGTTTGCTAAATGCTTGTATTAGTCAATGTTCAGTCGGATATTCCTTCTTTTGTATTTCAGGTAACATTGGATTTTAGTTTTATTAGACAGGGTAGTAGAGAGATGCTGCAGTTTGTATGAAGACCTTCGGTTTGTATTATATGCAGAACCAGCTCATATTGAAACTAGTACTTAATTTACCCATGGAACCAAAACTCCTCATGGATGATTGGAGAGGAAATTCAGAGTTACACAGAGCAGAGAAGCTCAGGCTGGGCACAGGAGAGATGGTAGTGATTATGATGGTTTCATTCTCTTCTGAGAGGGATCCAGAAATCTATATTTCCCATGCTTTTATCCTTTGTGCTGTTCTAGGACCAAGGACAGACAATGAGGTGCACAGTAAATGCAGAGCATGAGCAAAGCCACTTACTCCAGTGCCATTAGTGCTGTTTTTCGTCCTTTTGAAAATGGAAAAGTAATAATTGAAGAGCCACATCTTGAAATGAAGCTAGGATGGGTAATTCAAGGATGATTACAGAGGGCTGACATATTTTCTGCCTTCTAAGCATTGAAGGGTATTCTGTGTTCTTAGAGATGGGAAAAAGATAATCATTATGAGAAGAAAGACTTCTGTAATGGAAAACTGTGCCAAAAATAAAGCAACATTCAGGGACAATGGGCAGGGATGCTTTGAGTTTGTTTCAGTGCGTCTGCATTTTTGTCAGGCGAATACTGCTGGGGCACACTTACCCCTCCAGGGTGGGCCTTAAAAATGCACCTGCTTCCTAATCTACTTATCAGTGTCTGGGACAAATTACAGGGAAGAGAAAGAGGAAGGGGAAGGATAAAAAAAAAAGAAGCAACGTCCCATTAAGGGTTTAAGCTTATTTATGGGTCACAGTCTTTGCCATGCTCCCAGTCTCAGATATCGGAGATTTGCCTAAGAGCAGCTTCCTAATTGAAAGAGATTAAGATAGACTGACAACAGCCCTGCTTGTCCAAATTGAAATGCTGCGATCCGTTAGGTTTCATAAAATTGGACACTTCTGGGGGCCAACAGAAAAAAAAATGGCCATAATGAAGTGTCATTGGGGTTATGGGGAGTGAAGACAAGGCATCAGATTGCAGCGGGCGTGGAAATGACTTACAGTAGGTAACTGCCACTGCTTGCCAATCTCTCTTATGCTCTGGCCACGGTGAACATCTCCAGAAATATCCCATCGCTTTAGTGGTCTGAGGGGAAAATAAGTAGGCCACAGACGGGGGGCTACCTCTTTCTAGCCCACTCATTCATTGCTCCCCCACGAAAGGGGGGCCCTTTAATACCCAGGAGATATTTGTTTCCTGGCGGTTCATTTCGAGCTCACTGAAGCTAGGCCTTATTTGAAAGGGATCCTATCCCCACACCTCCCGGAGCGCGACAGGCCCACAGCCCACCCACACTAAATTAATTTTGACAAGGAACTTAAGATAACGTCAAAGCACCGACTAATCAGCAGATTGGGTTTCTGTAAGTCACGGGCCTGTGAAATGTGCCATCATTTCAAATAAAAGCTTCTTGTAGCCTTTCTGTTTTTTTTTTTTCATTCTTTTTTCTGGGCTGCCATATCGTGTCTTTTTGGAAAACAGTTGAATTTTATTTGGGAATGATTGACATGCTCAGGAGTGAATTGCAGCAGGTATAGAAATCTTTATACTCCTTTTTCTCTCTTTTTATTTTCGGTTTAACTTTTTATCCCCCTGTTCCCCACCCCCCCAATCGTATCTTTTGTTGCTCTTGGCTCTTTGAGGTCTGCAGTGTCAAACGTTCATGTTCTGTAGAGCCGCTCATTTTCTTTCTTTTACTTTTCTGCTCTGAGGAGTAAAAATCATTCAGGTCCTGCTAATCCAGTGGCGGTGTCGATTAATCTGCGAGCAGCACGCACACCTCTGGGAATAAAGGCTTGGATGACTTTAAGATATTGGCGGACCATCACTGACAGTCCATCAGACCCAGGCCTGCTTCCTTGCTCTAGATCTGAAATGCATTCAGTCCATAAATCTGGTGACACGACACCAGCGTCACAAGGAACAAACATTCATGGAATAAAAATAATAGAAAAATTAAGTGCATTTAAAATTTCTGCCCATGGGTGAATTTATTTATTATGCCTGTTGTGCCTCTGTGCTCTGTCGTTTGCCTTTGTGTTTCATTTCACATTCTACCCAAATTAATTGCTGTCCTGGGAAATACTTGGCATCCTGTCTTAGCTGATGTCTGCCTTGCAGTAACTGTCCCCATGGAGGTACAGCTCTGAGCTGACGCTGACCAGCAACTCACTGTGATATGATGCTTCCCACTGCTGGCATTTCTGCAGTGCGCGTGTTGTGAAGTGACAGAAGTGTTTTGTGTTTGAAAACACTTTGTACTAAGTGAACATCTTTAGGGATAAATGGGCTCTTTTTGTTATGTGTAACCAGAGATGGAGGCACAGATGGAAGATCATTTAGGATCTGCTGTTTGAGCAGAGTCCATGGGTGGCACCCAAATCATCTCTGCTAATGCACAAATTATCCTTAATAAGAGAAGTTAAACATGTCAGCCATTCTGCTTTAAGTTCCCAAATTTTTAGTGAGGCTTTTTTTGGGCAATATTCCATGAATATTAACATCTGTCCATCCAGCTTCCAGTCACGGGGGATTAACAGTAACATGCAAAATGGAAATCAGTAAGTGTATCAAAATTGGCCTTTGCAAATTGTTACTGTTTCCTGATTATTTGAAGGGAAACAGCCATATTCAGGTGTGTATTTTAGATTGCACGTAGTAATTTACCTATTTAAATATGTGAACAGTAGTGTTACCTTTTTGTAATGGAAACTAAAAATTTCTATAGATTTGTGACAGGCTGAGCCACAGATTTGTTCATTTACATTTTTCAGACTTTCTCCGTTTTATTAAAAATAATAGATAAATTCTCTTTATATTTGTCAGCAACTCCCTGCAATTAATCAATCAATTAATCAATTGACAGAGACAAAACAAATATGGAACTTGTTGACTGCCAGGGGAAAAATTTTGTTGTCCAGCATATCACAAAAATAACAGCACAACAGTTCTTCTTGCCAAAAATGAACAGGAAAATGTGTAGCGCAGCGAGATATAAAAATGCATATAACATTAAAGGTGTGCAATTTAGCAGATGTTTTTCTATGAAGCGACATAAAAGTGAGGAAAGTTTTTCGGGTCGAACAGCCTCCCTGGAGCAATTAAGTTTTATTCATTTAGCAGAAACTTATCCAAAGCAGCATACGTTTTTGAGGAATCAGGGTTAAACACTCCCGGGAGCAACTGGACATTAATGGCCCAGCTCAGGGGCCCAACTGTGAAATCATTCTGCCAACGCTGGAATTTGAACTGATGGCCTTCTGATCACAGGCATGGTGTCCTAACCCACTGAGCCTCACAGCGCCCCAGTATGGGATGAGGGTCATGGTCAAGGGCCCAAAAGTGATATTATTACCCTGCCAGCAATGGGATTTGAACCCATGTCGGTGCAGATGCTGTCGCAGGGTCTTATCCTGCTGTGCTACACACCACCTGCTGATTGTGCGTGGTGGCTCAGAGTTGGGTTAATGTCACCTGAGTTGTATGGGGTTAGGGTCACGGCATGGACACCAGAAGCATTGAACCGATGAATGTCTGATGTGCTCAGTTGTGCATCTTGGGGATTGGAACCTGTGCTTGAGGGTCTTTCTCAGCTGAACCAGCTGTTTTCAGAGAGTAGTACAGAGTGTACTGTACTTCAGAGTGTAGAGCAGTTGCTTTTAATCATTAGCATCATTTTTAAGCAGAGCGTTTCTTCTTAAGACAGCAGGAAGCAGGGATTAAGTTTGGTTTAATTGCTTGTCATTGAAAAAATCTGTGTGGTTGCAGCTAGGGTTTGTGAGCATGAAGCGAAGCCTGCATGGCAGCCTGAGACAGCCTCACCCTCGTGCAGCATCAGCATGCAGTTTACATGCACAGGGAGCTACTAAACATTGCTGACTCTATATGTCATTTTTAATTTATCACACAGATGGGATGCAGAATTACCAATGCAGTCTTTTAATGTGGGAGGCCCACGCGTGGAGTTGGGATGATAGACGTGCGTCACTCAAAGCCCTGTCTGCCTCTGACGGCTGGCTTGCACGCGCTCTCACCAGTCCCTCAGCAGGCTTTTAGAGTCAGAATATATTGATGTCTGTGTCCATTAGCTGTGATGTATCCACTCTGCATTAAGAGCCTCGTGGGCTAACAGAGGTGATGCCCCCTGTTGTGTTTCTCCTTCAGCATCGAGCAGAGCCTGAGGGAGCTGCAGGGGACGCTGGGTGACACCAGGGCTGGGGACCAGATGAAGCCGGTCAGCACCGGACACCAGGACCTGCTGGACTTCCTCCGGGCCCTGGTAAACAGCCCGTACCTGCATCACCAATGCTCCTCAAACCTAAACCTTATCAATAAGCTTGGGTTGTTTGTGAAGTAATGGTTTAAAACTTACAAATAGTTATAACATCAATATAATAAAAATGGTAAGTTTCAGATTATAATTAAAATAAGTGCTAAAAATGTGTTTTTTTCTTATTTATTTGTGCATATTGACTTTAGTATTCAACTTATTAGCATACATGAACTAGTTTCTGTTTCCTGCCTCATTATTATTATTAGCAGTAGTAGTAGTAGTAATAGTACTACTAGTAGTAGCAATAGTCACGGGAGTAAGAATCACTAATTCACTAATGAACAATCAAGAAATACTGCACTATTATGTTGCATTCTGTTGTAGTAAAAGTATGTGGCTTATGCAAATTAAAATGTTCACATTCTTTAAAACCTTTCTATTGTGAACCTCAGAGGTATGTTGGGAGAACTGAACTTTACAAATGCCAGTTTAGGGCAATTACCACATATATCATGAAAGCTGGGAAATCTAATCTGCAGTTCAGTGCAGTGAAATAATGCCAAGGAATATGCAGTGATTTGATCATTAGCTAATTAGTAGGCTGGCAAATTATTAACTATCCCATTTCATGCCATGAAGAGCACCTGTCAAATTACACACGTCACAGTCATTTCTTATAAGATCCATAGCACAAATTGCATATGAAGGGCACCCAATTCAAAGTATCATCATAATTATCTTACCACACTTACTATTATTATTATTTAGAGTTATTTAGTATAATGCAACCACTGCACTGCCTGTGTCATCAATTCAGATATTAATGATTCAAGTTTTTTGTATAGTGTCTTATTGCAGTGACTCCGTTTTAGCTAATTGATTAGGTTGCAGGTTAAGGCCATTTTAATTACAAATGAACAAGTGAATCACTGAAAAATCTGTATTCTGGATAGCGTGCATTTTCATTTTTGTGCAGTTTTGTGCCCTGTTACTTGTAGGACGGTGGGTCTGATTCTGATTCTGACCCCAGCTCTGTGTGTTTGTGGAGTCTCTCTGTTTGCATGGTTCCCACTAATAGTATAAGCAGTTGCAGTTTAGGTGAATTGCTGTGCCCTGTGATGGACTGGCATGGTCCATGCATATATCAGGAGTGTGAAACTCCAGTCCTGGGGGGCCGGAACCCTGCACATTTTTGGGTTTCCCCTCATTTAACACACCTGATTCAACTCCTTGTGCTAATTACCACACAGCTCTTGAGCTGAATCACAGGGAAAGAACTAAGCTACACAGCCCCCCCCCCCCAGGACTGGAGTTTGCCATCCATTTTACGTATAATTGTTGAAATGAGGAGTTTCTAACTCATTGTTATTGTACATGTTAATCAAGATGGAAGTAAACTTTACAGAAAATACCAACTCTGATTGACAATAGAGGAGAAAAAATGTCTTTGCACAGTCAGTAATGGTGGATTGCCTTTGATGCCTGGGTTGGATTCTGGCAATTACAACTTCTGGCAGAAGCATAAGTAGACAAATGAAAGCAGCTCTGGCTGCGATTGCATTGTTTTGTTTTTGCACACTCTTTTGTCGCCAGATCTGTATGAAGCGTGGAACACTGGGCCGTTTTGAGTAGTGAATATGTATTCTGTAATGCTGGAAAGCAAAATGCAGCATTAGAATGGATACTATTTACATGTATGTTATTTTTCGATACATGGTGATGAATGTGGTTGTGATTGAGGCCACGGTACTGAGAAGTTTTGCTTCCCGGTGGCTGTCATGGCGATATTCTTTTGCAGCAACAGTATTTAAGGACGGAGGAAGACGGCCGAGAGGACGCGGCACTTCTCACACTGCTGAGCATCTCCTCTCGGTGCGGAGTGGCCTTTCCCAGCTTCCAGCAGCGCATGGCCCCCTGTTTCCCAGTACACGCGGTTCGAGATGAGGCAGCGCTGGACGTGCAGGAGGCCTGGGAGGACATAAGAGTCCTGCTGCGGCGCCACCTACTTGAAAAGCTGCACAGTGCAGACGACGTCGTGGATGGGGACCGAGGTGCAGAGGGTTGCATCCGGATGGCGCGACGAGTCCGCCGCTTTGAGCAGCTCCTTTTCCTTTATCCGGAGACGGAGGTCCTGTCCCGCTACCAGAACCTTCAGGTTAAATTCGTGCAGGACCTCCTGCGCGGTACGCAGCCCTGCAGCTTTGAGCGGCTAGCCGACCGCTTGCGTACCGCCGCTCCCACGCTGTGCAGCACGATCGCCGCGGACCTGCACACCCTGCGCTGCGTAGTGGAGCCCAACACCCTTATAGCTTTCATCAACCAAGGCTACCTGAATACCATTTCTCAAGAGCTCCTTGTCCTCATAGAGGAGTGCTGTGAAAACGCAGTGAAAGACACCAGTACACACACCAGTAAGCCTGGGAAGAGGAGCTGCACCAAGGCCAAAGCCCAAGGCTGTGAGTCATCTAACTTTTTTTTAAACAATCAATGTTTGTGGGGAAAAAGATGAATTTTGGATAATTAAAAACATTGTAAATGAACTGTATATCAAACATTTGGATTATGTGTGACATATACACCTTATAAAGAAAGGTACTGAGACACCTGGCCATTACACCTACAGGAACTTTAATAACATCCCATTCGAAATACACAGGCATCAATATGGAGTTGCCCCCCCCCCTTTGCAGCCATAACAGCTGCCACTCTTCTGGGAAGGCTTTCCACAGGATTTTGCCCATTCATCCAGGAGAGCATTTGCGAGGTCAGGCACTGATGTTGGAAGTGAAGGCCTGGCTCGCAATCTCTGTTCCCAAAGGTGTTCGATGGGGTTGCGTTAGGGCTGCACAATACCAGATCTCAATATAATCGTGATTGTATGGTGCATGTGCAATAATCACAAGGGCTTTGGATGATGGGCGAAACATCTGTCTGGACGCCAGCTTTTTGCTACTATGCGAATGTTTATTTATGTCCACAGTTGGGTAAGCAGTATGCCTGAAATACGAATGAGATGTGTATTGTGATGCCCATAACACAGTAATCTGTATAAATTTGGCATATTTTTATATTACATTTATTTGGCGAAGCATGTCGCATGCTACTATTTTGGTAAGTCACGGAAGCGATAAGCACTGAAGTGGATGTGAAGATAGTAACAGCTGTACAGCCACAGCATCTTTTAGAAAACGAGATATTGTGGATAAACAAGGTACAAAGCTGTCGGTGGTGTGACGGTTCTTTCTGCAGTTTAAAGTCCGACACGTTCATTAAACATAAGGATATGCCAAATTTATGCAGATTATTAATATTTTAGGCATACTACTAATCTGCTCACCAAATTGTGGGTGTAAGTAAACATCTGTATAGTACCAAAAAGCTGGCATTCAGACAAATGTTTTGCCTGTCATTTAAAGCTGCTGTGAGCATGCACCTTACAATGGTGATTACGTCAAGATCTGATATTGTGCAGCTCTAGGTTGAGGTCAGGGCTCTGAGCGGCCAGTCAAGTTCTTCCACACCAAACTCACCCAACCATGTCTTTATGGACCTTGCTTTGTGCACGGGGGCACAGTCATGCTGGAACTAAAAAGGACCTTCCCCAAACTTCCCACAAAGTTGGAAACGTATAATTGTCCAAAATGTCTTGGTATGCTGAAGCCTTAAGAGTTCCCTTCACTGGAACTACGGGGCCTAGCCCAACCCCTGAAAAACAACCCCATACCATTATCCCTCCTCAACCAAACCTTACAGTTGGCACATTGCAGTCAGGCAGGTAATGTTCTCTGGCATCTGCTAAACCCAGGCTAATCCATCAGACTGCCACAGAGAAGCGTGATTTGTCACTCTATAGAACACGTTTCCACTGCTCCATATTCAAGTGACTATGGGCTTTACGCCACTTCATCCAACGCTGGACGTTGCGCTTGGTGAGGCTTGTATGCCGCTGCTTGGCCATGGGAGCCCATTTCATGAAGCTCCCAAAGTACAGTTTTTGTGCTGGGGTTTATGTCAAAGGAAGTTTGGAACTCTGCAGTTATTCAGTCAACAGAGCTTTGGCGACTTTTATGCAATATGCCCCTTAGCACCTGGCATCCCTGCTCTTTTACTTTACTTTTTTTTTTTTTCCTTTTTTTTCTTTTTTTCCCTTTTTTTTCTTCCTTTTTTTCCCTTTTTTCCCCCCCCTTTTTTCTGCTCTTTTACTTTACTTATAGTCACCTGTTTCCGTAGGACTTGCTTGATGCAAAGTTCTGCCTCTGTAATCAGCTGCTTTAGCCTGACTTAGCAGAAACTGGGTCAGTAGGGTAAGGTAGTCATTTGGATGCCCTTTGCACTTACATTTTGGCTCAAGTTGCCGTTAGCTTTTATCCAGCATGTATGTACCGTTGGATTATTGTCCAGTATATTATTATTCCATTGCTGTTTTCAATCACCTTTTTTGAGGAAGCAAGTTTTATGATCAAAGGAAAAAAACAGTTGAACTTTGCGAGTAAGTACCATGGATAGGTTTTGTGAGTTACACCGTCAACAAGGTTATGGATCATTTTAATGTGAGCCTATATACATAAAGAAAGGGAATTTCACTTTAAAATGATAACTTCTGAGATTTTCATTCTTTCTAGTGGTATCACTTATGTTTCCTGTTTATTTTGCATATATGCTTTGGGAAAATGCCATTGAGGTGAGTTATCCCAGAGTAACCCCCCTGTACTCACTCACTCCTCAGGGAATATACTTCTGGGCATCTGACCCTGTCAGACCAGTGGACCGTTTAACAGTTTTCATATAGAGCTGTGGCAGCTGCTACACTTTTCAACCCCACTCTCTGGAAAGAAAACATTGACACTGTTCCAGACCAGCTGTGATGGTTTGAGCTGCTTTTTTCCTATTTCTTTGTCCCTTCTTCACCTCCTTCCTTCTTGTCCCTCTGAGGCATGTTACACCTTCCAGTACTTAGTTCGTGTTTGTCACCTGCCTATGAACAATCACAAGTAATATGATATTCACCATTTTACAATATATTACCTGTTTGTTTTTTTTATATGTAGTATTTAAATTGCTTTAGTTTATTCATCCAGAGGCAGTTAACCTATGTTCTTTAAAAAATGGTAATTTTGTCCTTCATGCAGCAAAGATTCCCATCTTTATTTCATATATAATTTTACATAAAGTTACCTTTACCTACCGGCTATATTCAAAATTATTGATTACTCTTAGTATTATATGTTTGGTTTATTATACAGATTTGTGTCTGTATAATACCTCAAATTGTATATGCTGATAGATATCTAACAGTGTAAGAATGAAAATATGTACAGTTTCTGTATTTGATTCACCAGTACTGTTGGATTCAGTAAAATTTGAGATGTGAATATAATCTACTATGTGGAGACAGAAGCAGTACGACATTCCCCCGAGTCCTTAAGAAATATGCGTAGTATTCTGGTCTTTTTCTCAATATAGTAAATGAGGAGATTTATTGAGAATAAAATATAATGTTGGACAGAAGTTGAAACAGCTGAAATATGTTTTTATTATGAATTGCTGTGCTTTCAATTTGCCTGCAGGCTGACATTGTTTTGTAATTGCTTTAAACCAATTTAATAAACTCCGTCACCTTCCCACACAGTCCCCCTCTTTGTTGAATACGCTACTGTAAAATTGCACCCGCTAACTATTAAGCGCTGAGAGTACTTCAGCTTAAGAGATGTAGGATGCAGTGGCTGCTGGGAACGCATGAGGCTCAGGAATAGTATTTGTTAAAATTTGATAAGTGCCGCTCTTTAACTGGATTGCATGTTTCATGAGTCTGTGCCCATTATGAATTGTGCCGTGCTAGTGCATGTATTTATTTAATAACCACAGTTTAACAATTGAATATTCACAGCACTAGACCATGAATGGGTATCGGCAGTTTTCATTTAGTGGGGAAAGGGGCTTTATTCTAGACTAGATATCAGGGATATGTGTTTTCTACTAGCTGTAAGTATTGAACTGAACAGAGATGTTGAAGTTTACATATTGGGTACTTATTTTGATATGATTTACCTGTTTATTCCAATGTCCAGAGTGAAATTCTGTAGAAATGTTATTTGTTTTGTCTTTGTTCATACATACATTTCCAGTGCACTGTAATACCCCAAAATGGTCTTTTTGTTCGGGACATCTGCAAGTCTGTAACCAATAATATAACCAATACATTTTCCTCCTCCCCCTCCAGTACTAGCCAATAAAATCTGAATGGCTGGCGACCCCTAATCAGGCCGCAGGGCCTTGATGACCTGCAGTGGATGCTGTCCAGCCATGACTAACAGCATTATTGTGTTTATTCTTTAATTTAACTATAGGTATATATTCCCACCCTGAAACAATATGCCACTGAATGTACAAATTGCAGTTAAATACTGGCTTATAAAAGTGCACAACTTAAAACATACCTCTTCTTTTTAGTACCTTTTCACTACCCCTTGGAACATCAGAAATGGTGGGGAAGGGAGGATACTTTATTCAAAAAGACGGGTCCCCGGGGCATTGTGGTTAACATCTGCATCTAAGTGGATATCTCTGCTTCAGCCATGTTAACATTCCTTTGTTGTCCTGTCATTCACGGTCAGCTGGGAATACAGGGGTGATCTTACGCAGTGATAAACTTGTCAGTCCCCATCAAACCTCCTCAGAACTACATCTCAGGCTGCTTCTTCTGCTCTTCACCTAACAAATCATACCAGCATCACATTTTCCTGGTTAGGATGCAATCTCCCCGCCTCTTTTAATTTTATATATCTGCCATGAGAGGCCTGCTTTGACAGTTTGAGTTAAATCCCATGGTTAATTGGTGTTTGAAAGAGAAATGGCGGGAGTTCATGTGAAAGAGGAATTAAATCAGGAGGTAAAATATTGCATGATTGGTCATTCCCAGAAGGCGTGTGCATCATTTGGAAGAAAATATGTAATAATTGGTTTTAGGCCATGTCTGACACAGGCAATTCCCTCCACTAATGGCTCTGTTAGGTAGCACCAGGCCTTGAGGGTCAGTAAAGGACGGAGAATCGCCGAGCAGCACATGCGGTGCGGGGGAGACTGAGCGCTGAGGAAATTAAGTGGCAATAAGTGCAATCCAAAGGGGAAATGCACTTCACTGTGAGTTTAATACATCAGACAGGAGGCCTGGCAGCCTGCCACATAACAATTGTTTACCTTTTTGCTCGCCGGCTGCATCTGTTCTGTTTTGTAAGCGGTACTAAACTACCCACCCGTAAACACTGGAATCAATAACAACTGCTTGGGGATTCGTCCCCCCCCCTCCTCCCCTTTACCACCACCTCTTTCTTTCAGACCAGTTGACATGAGCGCGCTGCTAATGTCGTTTGACTTGGGCTCACGTGAGAAAGCCCCTAAAGGGATGGAGTTCAGCTTCTTACGGTAATCTGAGGGGTCCCTGTGACTAGGGAGACAATCGGGTTGCTGTTTCCATTTGAACTTGAAGGGAGCCAAATGGCATATTGGTTCCTAATGATGCAAGTCAGAGTTAATAAGCAAGGATTTGTGATGTGACAGCTTGAACCAAACAAACAACCTTATATTAGAAAAAGAAAGTCAAACACTGGGATGGAAGCCCCTGGAAACGTTCTATAACCACTATGACTCAAAGAAACCCAACGGTGGTGAGGAACCTGCCTCAATGCCTTTCCCATACCCACCAAAAGGGGCCCTTTAAAACCTTAACAGGTCATTTAGTCCAATCAGGGCTGGGTGGGTTTCATTAATTGACTGCATCTGTCCATGGGGCTAGTGAACACTGGCTGTGGATTGGCTGGCCAACTCTTGTAGATTCACAAAATCTGATTGTGCTGACAGATGTTACAATGAATATACAGTGGTCACAGAAAGTCTTGGGACACTTGCTTACTTCAGTAATATGTTACAAATTTTTGGTTTTATAACAAAAATCATTACTTTATCCATTTGATTACAAAATTATATATGACTTTGCTAACAACCAGGAGATTTAAGTAAAACATTCATTTCAAGTAGTAATAAATTGAATCCCAAAGTATAGTTCTAAAAGAACGGTCCTAAGTTGAAAAAGTTCATTGACAAGCAGACACAATGGATGCTTTTTATTTAGTAACACCATGCAGTAACATAAAACACCAAGCGTTTGTGTTTAGTATCCCTTTGGGAGCCAGTGACTGCAACTGCAATTAATGGCAAGAACAGAACTGAATGGGAACTGAAAGAAAATGTCTGTGTGGAAGATATGTGCAGATATGTTAAACATTCCTTGCCAATGGAGTTATGTTATGAAACCAATATATTTGCAGCATTTTTACAGCAATAAGCAAGCATCCTAAGACTTCCTGTGAGGACTGTACATGTATGTATAGGGGCTCAGAGAGATTTGTACTTACTGTAGATCTTTTTTGTAAATAAGGAAAGTGATTTTTGAGTTGTTTCAAAAAATGTTAAACAAACTGCAAGTAAATAAATGTAGAGTGGGGCCTCAGTGAGTAGCAGGTTTGCCTCATATCTCCAGCCTTGAGGCTTTCGATTCCCCACCGATCTCTGTGTGTGGAGTTTGCATGTTCTCCTGCTGCTCTGTGGATTTTCGCTGGGTCCTCTGGCTACCTCACATAGCCTAAATGTGCAGTTAGTTATGGGCTGGCTGGTAAATGGCATGAACTGGCATCCTGTCCAGCAAGTCCCCTGACGTGTCCTTTGCTGCCTGGGATACATTCCAGTACACCCCCCCCCCCCATGTTCTGGATAATAGGTTGGAAGACAGATGGAAAAGTAAATATGGATGATAAATTTCATTACAAAACAACAGTAATAGAGGTCACTGTTTAGAAATCCTGCTTCTATGAGTAGTTATTCCTCAAATATTTCATATTATTGCTGTTTTTATGACCAGGCGGGCGATGCAAAAATTATTTTTTATAATGATTACATGCTTTACTTACAGTGAAGCACAATATTAAGGTCCAGGTTATTTTGACAGCCACCACCAAGCTTATCAAAGGGTGAATTATGTTCCTGTGAAAGCAACACTCATTTAACGTCTGTTTGTTTGTCATCTTGTGCAGTACCAGTCAAATCTTTCAGTGTACTGAAATGACTATGCATGCTTTAAACTGTATAATCTTGTTTATTAAAAGGGATGGGAAATTTGTATGACGCGCTGATGAGTTAAAATTTGAATTATTTGAATCCAAAAATACTTTAAAGATGTGGGGTAGGTGGATGCATGTGTGACTCCCACTGTCCAGCATGAAGGAGGTGATGTCGTGGGCTGTGGTTGCTCTGCTGGTGACACATGCTGGTGACCGAATCCATGGTATTCTCAATGTCCCATCCTTGCTAACTTCAGAGACCATGTTTGTGGCTGATTGGGCGCTGCTTCATTCCTCTGAAAGATAGCAACCTGAAAATTGTGCAAGAACTCTCTGGTGAAGAAGGGAAGTGAAGGTTAACTGGAACTAATGACCTGGCCCAACTAGACTCCAGACCTCAATTCCAAAGACTTTTTAGGGGTCAAACTGACAGAAGTGGCAAAGCAAAGAAAGCCACAGGCATCTTAGGAATCGCTGCAGAGCTGGGAAGACATACTGGGTGATTCCTACTGAAACTGAAACCAGGTGTTTTTAAAGCTGCTATCAAGGCAATTGGCGGCTCTTTTAAGGAAGATTTACTGCTATGATTCTGTTTATGTTTACTCTATTGTTTTTTCATTGTTTTTCTGCATTTAAAGAAATAGATAAGATGTGAAAACATTTCACATCCACAGAGTGAAAAATAAATCCACATTGGTAAAATTAAAAAATGTAAGACTAAAAGCGCATCTAGTGATTTAGCTGTAAGAATGTAAGCGCAGTCAGTCATTTATTCCTCCGTGAGGTATATTATCTCCCTTTGGAGCCTATTAATGAAGGGGTGCGTTTCCTAGGGAATTCGCCCACCTGCCTCTGCTGGTTAGTTACATCGGGCTGACACATGGATATATCCTGGAATAACCAGCTCTGAGGTCAGTCAGAGCTGTCATAGCAGGAAAGGAAGAGTGACATGTTCAAATATGGAGGAAAATCACAAATAAAGATATTTATATTCCTCCTATGATTTTATATGGAGGCAGAGCATTAAGCCTAAAACATCTTGTCATACAGTGAGACTTTTTTGAACAATATGGCAAAATTACATTAAGATCTGCTAATAGTGTTGCAGTTTTTGGAAAGCCCCTTTTAACTCAATCATCCTCTTCCTTTCATAGCCCTGCTAATGCTTCCTTGATCCAGTCCCAAATGCCTTTTTATAGGGGAACTAATTTAGGCATACGTACAAAAGTATTTGTTCGTCTGTCTGGGAGTACAGCAACACATTTCACAGTTCTTATTATCTGGCTTAATGCGTAACATCCCTTGGGTGATGGGTTTGGCAACTTAAAATTGGGAAATCCATGCTAGCGAGGTCATTTCCAGGTTAGGGAAGAGAAGTTTAAAGTTTACTCACTTTCTTCAGAAGGAAGTTTCTAAAAGTGAGAAATTTACAGGAATCAATATGTGTAATTGGCTGCGAGGGAGCACATAATGGAGAGAAAAGCACGTTCCCACTGCTCTCTGTGTGGTGTTGCGGCGCGCGAGGTTTAGTGCGGATCCCATACAGTCATGGTAATGGATGGATTTCCTGCTTGCCTTTAGCAGCCCGGGAGGCGAGTCAGAGAGGCGTGAGCGGCTGCCTGACCTCCCAGCAGCTCAGCTGCCTGGCAAAGATCTGCAGCACCCTCCTGGAGCTGGATGAACAAATGGAGCTGCTGGTGACTAAGCTGCCGTTCCTCGCCTGCCCCGGGGCTCCCTGCAGTGTGAGAGGTAAGCGACCCTCTCTGAACAGCTCCTTGGCCTGGCATTTAGGAAGGAGTTAAGTCCAGTAAGCTCAAAAGAAGGGTCAGCTCTGGGGAATCTGAGAATCTGTCACATAGCCACAATGTATTGATCACATTCAAAAAGAAGACACAAACCTTAAAAAAGATTAATGAATCCAGCAGGGATCATATTTAAACTATCTTGCACCCATATTATTTTTAATAGCACCTCTAATGTGTAATATAGTATAGGAATATCTGTAATAATGTGCAGATAAATGTATCTGTGCGATGTCATTCCACAGTAACGTTGTTCCTGGGTGCTTTTTTCAATGTTATTACTGAAATATGACAAATCACAGCTACCTGAATATAAGTGCAAAATCCTGCACCTTATTTAAGCCGAAGGGGTTACATAAAGCTCTGTAGGAAATAATATACATTACAGTCTTTCTGTCTGTCTCTCTTACAGCATTTTCCCTGTAGTGCACTTTCTGTAGTGTACTACAGCTTTTTGTTGCATATCTTTATTTCTAAACAGATCATATTACACACAAGACACATATGTAGAAACAGAGGATATACTGAGACTTAAACAGCCTTTAAAGAATAGTTATCCAATTAATTTCAACAATCAAATTGCTTAATTACTATAAATTACTGGGCTTATTGGTCAAAAAGTGAAACAGTCTTTCCTCTCAGTCCCGTCCTTGTTTGATTCATTCTCCTACTATTAAATTGCCATGTTTGAGGTTTTATTATTGTGATTATGATTAGCAAAATGTGCCACTGAACCCTGTACTTTCATTCATATCAGTTTGTATGTGCAACTAATTCCCATTATCGCTCATTATAAGCGCTCTTAAGAATTTCTTATTAATATCTGAGTTCAAATCAGAGGCAAACCTCCAAAATTGGAAAAACACGCCTGCTTGCCTTAATTGTGTTCTTTGGTTCACTTTTACATAAAAGAGAATTTTTTATGACTGGAATTTGGATTTTATGACTTTTTCTTCGAAGATGGTTAGGATTAAGTCTTTGCATAGCTTACGTATTGGGACATGAACAGAAGTAATTAAAGTGGCATATTTTACAGGGTGCAAAAAAAGTGATTCTTCAGTGATGTGAAATTAACGTATTTGGTCACATACTGAATAAATGTGGCATTTGAGAATGTTCATTAATGTCATATATATTTTATATGTATTCTGTCCAGCTTAGCATATTTATTACAGCAATCGGTATGATATTGATGTCTTAATGACAATGCTTAATTGTTACTTTTAAAATAATTCACATTCAACGGTTAATCATCCTTGAATCACAACAATGTTCTTTTTTGCATTTACTTCCAAATACTTGTCTAAGTTACACTTGTGTGCAGTGGAAATTCATTCAGTTGGCAAGATCACGCTTTTATTTAAATGTCAGACGAGGCCCCTGACTGACTGTGTTCCTGTGCCCAGGGATCCTTAAGAAGACCAGGGAGGTCTCAGAGATGCCTGCGGGGAACGGGAATAGGTACACAGACATGCTCCTCCAGCAGAACCCTGAGGTGAGAGAAAGTGAATCAGTCTAGGAGGAAAAACAATCCTTAAAAGAGCTGTGGAATGAACAGCAGTAACCTGTCACGCATTCCCTATCTCCCTATGATTCCTTCAAAAGCTTAGACTGATCCTGTGTAGAACTTTGAGACCACATCAACTTACAATTTTTGAGGCTAATGAGGAATTTTATTAAAATTCACTAATTTAATATTTTGCATGGATCTTCTCTGTGGTCGGAAGCCTAAATAGTCCTGATTTTGTCATCCAAGATGGATAATTAGCATTTCCATGCTCCGTTCCCTGGCTTGTAGATAAGTGTCAGAACTTGACAGCTTCCATTCCCAATGAGTATTTTTATGGAAAATTCAGGGCAAGGCACAGCAGTGACTGGGGAGTTTCTGTATTTTTAATTTAAATATAATGCTTTTTGGAATGATGTTTCAAACTTTAATTAAACTTAATGAAGCTTGACATTTTTGCCATAAGTTGGTGTTGGTGAAATTCTGACCATTTGCAGAATGTGGGAATTTTTTATAGTAAAATTTCTTTGGAAATACAAAGGATCGGGAAATTAACTTTTGATTGTGCATGAATTTCTTTTGGTCGTAATTTACTCTTTTAACTAGAGTGTATTCTGTTACCTAAGAATTTCCACCGCATTTGCCGGGTATATCACTCTGGATCACAATGTAAATGTGACGTGATTTATTCATCTAAATATCTGTGCTTCTGTTCCAGCCTGTTGTTCTGGAGTTTGACTGGAGGAGTGCCTTCAGGGAGCTGGTGTCCCCAGTGGCACACTGTCTGAAAGCAGTGCTAGAAGATGCATGCTCCCGGAGTCGGCAGCAGGAGGAGACAGACACGGTCATTTCTGTGATCCTGCTTCCTCAAAGGGACTGGGCACTGCCCAGCTCCCTGGAGTCACAAGCCCCCAAAATGATTGCTAAGGCATGTACTGTATTCTCTCCATAGGTCTGCTAGGCCCAAAGATCTGGCTTGTTATAGGAACAGGCCTATTTGCAGTGTCAACGCACCAAACTGTACAGTTTAGTGCCTGTATTTCAAAGTCATTTTCAATGATATTTTGGCATTTAGCACAGTAACAGTAGTAGTAGGTCAGGGGTCTCCAACTCTGGTCCTGGAGAGCTACTGTCAAGGAGGTTTTCTATCCTACCTGGCTTCTGATGAGCCTCACCTCTTCTCAGGTAAATACCAGGAACAGGTGTGGCTCCTCAGAAGCCAAGTAGCTACGAAAACGTACCATATTAGTTTTCAGTGTCCTTGATAAATATCTTTAAACGTAAAAGCATGTCTACTCATTGTGTCACCCCCACAGCACAGTGTATACAGGCCGCTGATGCTCTCTGCTAACCTAGCCAGGCAGCCAGGTAACCTGAGCCTTCACCAGCCTCACAGAGTTTACTTCCCTGGTTTTTCTCCTTGCACAAGGCACAGGAGAGCAGTAGTTCAGTGGGGAAGGAGACAGAGGAGGCAGAACTTCAAAGGGGATGGTGACAGGGCAGGCAGGCTGTCCCCACAGTTGAAGAGTGTGGAACGAATGGGGATGGAGAGGTTTGAGTGCTGGAAAACTAAAGATAGCAGCAAATGGGCTCATGGGGCTTGTGGGGGGGGGGTTTGGGGGACTGACAAGGGCTCAGCCTAATTTGTAAAGTGAGGCAAGAGAATATTGATAACGCTGTTGAGGAACAGAGTTTCTTACATGGGCGTGCTTATCCTCCAGCTGTCTCGCTGGGCTCCTGTTGCAGTGATGACCCAGCCATGCACTGCACTCTTCCGTAATTTTTTGCTTTCCACTCCACCTTAGAGGACAGCTGTTGCTCTCCCTGCTGAATCCAATCTGCTCTTTCCCGTCCATTTATTTTCAATGGGGCCCAGAATGTCCTGGCCCATTTCATCCCCTGTCACTGTGGTCTGTTCTCGGACTCCGGTGGGAGATTGATAGTGTGCCTGATGTTTGGCAGCGGGCTCTCGGTCGGGGAGTGTCCAGATGGTTTTGTCCTGGCGGTGCTGATGGCACGGCGGTCCTGCACTCGCACCCCAGCTCGTAAACATTCACAAGCTGCGTACCGCTATCTACAAAACTGAAGCAAGGCTGGCAAGAGCTATAATGGCCGGCCTGTGGTAAATAGGTAAAGGTTCCTATCACACCCAGAAGCCATCTTGCACCTGAAACCAGAATGCATATCCTCACTGCTGTTTAAAACAACAGAGAGCCTCAGATGAAGGGTCCCGACTCCGGGGTTTGCCTCTCAGCTACTACTGATAGTAAATCACAAGTGTTACTCTTAATGTCTGTCGCTATCCTAAGTAATGTACCTCAGAATTTATTTCCGTTTGATCATGCGGCAGGTAACTTTGTGTATGTTTGAAAATGAGAGGCTTTCAACTCAAAGGTTATACATGCATTTATTTGCATTTAGAAACTCCCCGGGAGAGGGATCCGTTTGCCCTTTTTATGTATTCTGTAAGTTTTCTGAAAATCAAATGTAAAATACTGCAGCAGAACTTAAAACTAAATGTATACCTGGGAAAACAATGACTGGAACGACCTCAGAGCGGAAACCACGGATTTATAGTTTAATTTTCCATCAGCTATATCGTTATGTGTTTACAAATGCAGGTTACCTCAGATCACCTCTAAAATTACGCCAAATCTTTAATAATCTTTAACTTTCAATGAAAGGCTGTTAACTTCCCCAACTCTGTCTATCATTACCTGCTTTTTTTAGTTGTGAAGATAAATTTAGATTTACTTGAAATTTCAGGTGACACATTCATTTCAAGCTCACATTGTGGAATGGAAAACCCCACAGAATAACTGCTCTTACCGGCTGCTGGGATCATAACTTTCATCTTTTGCACTTAAGTTCTCTTCTAACGACGGTGCCAAGTTGTGAAAGCAGTGAGTCTCCAAGACACCTCATGGGTCTGCATCACCTTGAGCTCTGTAGGATGGTGTGTCTGTACCTAGGGAATTCGCCTTCGGCTTTTATTCCAGCTAAGCTCTTAATGACTAATGAGAGTCACCGCTGACTTAAATCTCTGTTGAATTTTGTGGTCCATTTGAAATTTCAGGTTTGCAGAAATTCCATAGAGGTATGTCCACCTGTTTTTAGAAGTTCATATGAGTGCAGTTTTATATTAGTACAATTTCATTGACAAGTTGTGTCAGATACTATATTACTAGAACCTAAGAATCGGTATCCAACTTTTCTTATTCCAAATTCCACTTTTCCATTCCAGCTTTTATGTTCAAAAGTGGCCCAAATCTACTTTCCATCCATTTTATTGAATCATAGCTATTATTGTATTCCTGGATGGGGAATGCTTACAGTTGGGACTGGTCCACTGCTGTAGATACTTTCTTGTTAACGCAATGGCTCTCAAAGTATTTTGAAGGATCTTTGAAGTTCTGGAAAGTGATCAAATTTTGAGAGACATCGCACCAAAATTAAAGCAGCACCTCATAGTGATTGCAATGAGAAGCAAAACACTTGCTCTTGTCAGCATGATAACTCAAATTGTATTTGATGGATCCTTATCAAACTGTGTGCAGACACATTGTATGGATGAAAATCTGACCGAAATTGAAGCAACACTGCTTAGTGACAGTAAAGGGAGGGGTGACTACAGAAGATGCTTGACCCAGTGAACAGAATAACTCTATTTGATATTATTACTGTATTTACTCTGATCTTTGATGGATCTTTTTACTAATTCACAAAAACATTATATGGATGAAAATCTACATCTGATACATCTGAGACAAATCACCCCAAAATTGAAGCTGAAGCCTTAGGTGGCAGCAGAGGACAGAAAGGGAGGTTGCAGAAGTTGTCTTGTGAGCACAGGAAATCTGAAAGGATGGATCTTATTCGAACATCTCAGGAACATTGTACAGGTCAGTGGTTCTCGAACTGTGGGGAATGCGATGATTTAATGAATATTTTAAAATAGAGATTATGTTTTTTTTATTATTATTTTTTTCTGTTGCTAAATTTATCATGGATAATTGAATTGCATCACCATAGCCCTGGTCTTAGCCAGTGGTGGCACATGAAAGATATGGCCCAAATCTGGTTACAAGGAGAAAAGTCACACAAGGCTGGGCTTATATTTAGGACTTTTTGGAGAGTTGGGAAGAGCGTGTGGGGTATTATCTATTCTGTTTAATAAGTGAAATAAATGTTTTTAAATAATCTGTAAACTGTCTCATTTTTTCAGGCTGATGGATAATAAATGTGTCCAGTAATTAATTGTAAAGTTTGGTATCAAATTTACTTATATCAAGAAATTATAATATATCAAAGGTAGCGTATGTGCAATGACTGACCCAGAAAGTGTGGTTACGCTATATTGTACAGTTTTACTCTTATTTCCTTGATTAGCTGCGAGAGACTTTCATGTGTAACCATTGATACATTCGACTTTTTTCCTGAGGTAGTTGAATGGCCTGATTGAGGGTATAGCAAATGTTTCCTCCTGGGATTCCAGTGCAATGTTGAAGTTACTGTATGAATCACAGTCCTTACTGCGCCACCTGCTGTCCATGCTTTGTGCCCTCATAGAGAATTGAGGAGCTATTCCTAAATCGCTACAGGTGAAAGGACACACGTACTGATGTTTCTGTTCTTGTTTTTTACATCTGCTATTCTGTTTTAAGAATGTTGCTCTTACAATGATATCTTACATGCTTAGAGTTCAGATGAGAAAAAAAAAACAAATGCTTTGCTCTTGATGGATTTTTTGCTTTCTCTCCAATGATGCAGTTCTGTGGGGACATTCTGAAGGAGTTTGATGTGCTGCTTCCTCTGGCGCTGCTGTGCAGAGATGATCCCCTGCTGGAGGTCAGGTCCACGTTTGTGGAGGTCTGCAGCTACGTGGCGTCTGCCGTTGTGGGCCGGCTGGAGGAGAGGGCCCGAGAAGTACCTTCCACGGCACCACTGAGGAACCTGCCCGCGCTGTTAGCTTCCAGTCTCCACATCCAGCAGTGGCTGGGCCACATCCAGCACCAGCTCAGAGACGGAGGGCGAGTGTAAGGCATCTCTGCCCAGAGCCCGTGTGCCAGGGCCATTTGTCTAACTGAACCACCTTTACAGGTTTTTGCCTACTTGTCCCTATGAGTTCACACATTCCTCACATTATTTTAAATAAAAACAGTCATTATTAGGCTGCTCTTTCCAGGTATGTTTGAAATATTGGAAATATTATGTGGAGAATTTACCCATGGGCAGCAAAGTGGCTGATGGGGTAACAGTGTAGCCTCCCATCTACAGGACTGAGGTTCGAGTCTCACTTCCCAGATTTTTTGTGGGTTTCCAGTACTTTGATTTCTTTCCAGACTTAGCTTTCCTTCCAAAACATGCAATTGGACATATTGGCGTCTCTAAGTTCATCTCGTGTGAGTGTGTGTGACTGGCATCCTGTGATGACATGGATGTTGGAATAACAGTTTGCTTTACTCCAACAGTTTATACAGGCTAGCAAACAAAATAGTTTCAGGGTGTAATTGCATTATATGAAACAACTTGGAAGAAAATAAGTTGAATTTTCACGTGGAAGAATACTTACTGAGAATTGGCAGGAAACATTTTAGGGATATTATAGAATGCTGACACAGACAAGTTTATGCGACTATTATCCTGTTTGACCTGTGCAGCTGTGTATAGATCATCAATGCAGGGCTCCTCTTGAAGTTTATTCTGAAGGGTTACTGGGTATTGCTAATGTGTTACCCTAAAGATCCTACCCTAACAAGCAACAGCAAACTAGTTACATTGTCTTTACTGACCAAAATGAGAAAACGGATATCACATCAGTGTCAATGTATGTTTCTGACATCATGATTAACCCATTCTTAAAAAATAATTCCTTTTTTTTCCTTTTCATTTCTTCTTCTCATTTATGTCCGCAGACTGGTCTCAGCATTTTTTAATATGTCCCAGGTGTAAATTCCATACACTACCCAATTCATTTTCAATGGGAATTATTATGGATGTTTTCAGAAATATATGAATTTGAACCCTTTATAACTGTAATTTCAATTTCAATGATATAAAAAGAACATAAAAATTCATTCCAGACAAAAAGAAAATTCAAGCTGAGCAGCTTAAAAAGGGTGATGCTGGAGAAGGGCTTGCAGAGCAGGCAGATTGTTAAGGCAAGACCAGAAATACTAAAATTCAGTAATTGTGTTATAAAGAAAATTAATATCCGTGTAAGTGATGCCCTGACAGAATAATTCAACTGGAGGAGGAATATGAGTTTGCTGGGAAACAGATGTTCTCTTTCAAAGAACCAAGGAGGTGAACAGGCGGGGAACTTAGTTCCTGATGCATGTATAGGAGGCTGCGTGCAAACACTGAGGAGATGCCATTGATTAATATGTAATAATCTGTGCGGGAGGCAGTGTGTGAGACTGAAGTAGGGCCATTCAGACTCTTAGTGACTTGGCCCTCAATCTCTTCTATCTCTAACCGTCTCTCTCCCTCGCCCTCTTTCCCCCATCTCCCTATCACTCTCTCCCCTATCTCTCTCTATGCCGCTATTCCCTCTGGCCAGACCGCTTTCTCTGCTGCCCATCCAGAGGTGTCAGGAGCTTACAGAGGCCCTTCAGGACCAGCTGACTCAATACTGCATCCAGACATGCGCTACTAGCATTTTTCAGGATGCTGAAGCCCATCATTGGGGTGACACCAAGCCTTTCTATGAGGTACAGATGAAGTCTTTTTTTCCCGCACAAACTGTGACAATGTATGCTTTTTTTTTCTCTCTCACTCTGTGTGTGTGTGTGTGTGTGTGTGTGTATATATATATATAGATTAATCACAGGGTTGCTGTGGATTAATTTCGATTAATCACGATTAAATATCATTTATTTTTAATCTATATTAATCGCATTTCATTTTGCATGAGCAAACAGACTCAAGAAAAAAGGAAATATATATGCACTTAACATGTTTATTGAACATCTTGAACATGAGTCTGATGCATTCCATCTGCCACAGAAGTGCAATACCATGGACCCATATCAAAAAGCAAGATTTTTTGCTTAGCCGGACAACTTGTCGGATTTAAGGTACCTCAGTTTAAATGGTCTTTATCTTCGTTCACTTACAATTGAACTACCTAATTGAACTACCGTAAATCCGACAAATAATCCAACTAATCATGAAATCCAATTCTAGCCCGGTTAATTGCCATTGTTAGCAATATCAGTTGATAACACATTACACACGGTGCTTTACGTATAAAACTCTGTAGCAACACGTCCACAGATAAGTTAATGAGCCACAAATGAGAAGTAGTGCTTAAACAGTACAACACTACAACTTTCCCTTCTGTTGATAAAGGGCGCAGCCATCTTGGATTCTGTGCTGCTTCGAGATATTTCTCGGATCCGAGAAACGGGACCGCGCATGCCGTCACTTCCGGCTTCAAAACTTGGAATCTGACTCGGAATACGAGTTCCCAGGGCAAATGGAACGCACCAAAACTGCCCGAAATGGGTTGACAGACACATTTCAGGGATTTTGAGTCATTCTGTGCTGCAGATTGGTTAATTGCGTTAAAAAATTTTAATCAGATAAATCATGATGATGTATTAATCCGCGTTAACCCGTTAATTTTGACAGCCCTAATATATATATAGTTCTTAAAGGGGGATGATGTTTTGCTATATTGTACTTTATAGTAAGGATGTATAATAAAAACTGTAGATATAAATGTATATATACCTTTGTGCTTAGCAGACAGAAGTAGTTTTTCTTGTTAAACTCCTAAGGTTGTCCTGGCTGTTGCAGCACTGAGCATTATTCTTACTTTCTTGAATGTCCAACAGCTATAGTGAATTTTAAAGTTGCCTTGTAACAGGTAAAGCACCTAAATATGTTTTGTTTCCAGAAATCACTTAATGGAGAATTCACTTAATAGGAAATGTAAATGTGTTAAAATTTGTGGATTGAATTCTTTACTGTGGTTGTACACAGCCCACACTGACAGTGGGATAGCAGTTCCCCGAGCGCTGCAAACAAAACAGACATGTAACATTTAATAGAATGTACAAAATATGAAACAGTTCATACAGTCTGTTGATGTGCACACTTTTTTTTGAGTCTGTTAGCATGAGATTGCAGACTGGCCTGTACCTTTATAACGAATGGCGTTCAAACGAATGGTGTCCAGTGTACAATATGTCACAGAGGATATTCATGGTTCTTCGATGACAACAACAGTATAGATGTCTGACAAGTAAGCTAGCAGAGTGCCAGAAATCTTCCCTGCATTCCTGATGGTTCGCTGCAGAACGGTTTTGTCTGTCCCATTGCAGTTACAAAATCAGATGGTGATGTTATAGGTTTAAATGCTTTCAGTAGTTACTATCTGCTGGTTCAGGCTGACTTTCCTGAGTGCGTGCAAGAAGTACGGCTTCTGTTGTGTTTTCTCGATCAGTGTAGCCCGGTAGTGTTGGACCATAAAAGGTCTTCTGTGAGATGGGTCCCCTGGGGTTTGATGCTGGACACCCCCACCACTGTGGCACCGCTTTCATGAATAATAGTGAGTTTGTTGCGTCATCTCCTGAAATCAATAATGAATTCTTTGGTCTTGTCCACGTTTAGTGCCAGATTGTTCTCTGAACACCATGTTGACACGTCGTTGGTGTAGAGGGCATGGAGGAGCAAGCTGAGTACATGGTGCTGAGCGGACGAGTGGATGGAAGGTGGGGACCCAGTCCTACTGTCTGGGGGTGGCTGGTTAGACAGTCATAGATCCATGCACAGATGGGCTGGCTAAGACCCAGCTCGCAGAGCTTGCTGTAGATCCAGTACAGTTTGACGGTGTTAAATGCGGAGCTATAATCAACAAAGAGCATCCGCACATATGACCCTGGGTGTTCAAAGTAGGTGAGAGTCATATGTAGATTGGTGATGATTGCATCCTCTGTGGATCTGTTAGGTCTGTACACATGTTGTTCTTTATCCAGGGCTTTTGGAGTTTGTGGATTTAATGTGTGAGAGTACCAGCCTCTCCAAGCATTGGTAAAAATGGGGCCAACAATGGACAGTAAACAGTCACAGGGATAAGTTGATAAGTGTGAGATTTAAATACTGCTGCTGGTTGGTCTGCGTGGTCCCTAAGACCTTGCCCCGGTAGGTCCAGCAATGTTCCTTGCATTTTCATCCAAGAACATGTCCTATGGCATGTTTCCACTGGCATACAGGAACCAGGCCGTACCTTAATCCATACCGCAAAGAAACTCTAGTTACGGCATGGTTGAAGCTCACTTCAGTTTTCCACTGCAGAAGGGTCGGTGTTGTCGGGTTTGGATAGTCACAGTGACACAAAACATGTGAGACGCTTATTGACTCTTCGCATGGTATTCATCACGATTTACTGTGTTCTACTTTCTGCTAGCAAGTCTATGAGAATTGCCATGCTATGTTAAGTTTGCTAGCAACAGATACTAACATTAGCTTGCATAAATATGCATTACCAATCCATTCCGTTGCTATTCTCTAGTACTTTCTTTTAAGTGGGGTTGGAAATTTTCAAGTTCCAACTTATCAGGAATGCATCAATAGATCACAATGTGCGATGCTCCTAATAATGATTAATATTTAGAATATGCCCTACTTCCCTTCAGATGCATGCATATCTGCGCAGATCACCGGTATCTCTGCATTTCAGACTCTGATGGTGGTGACACGACCAGCTAGCTTTGGTCTCGCTTTCAGACCTGCTAGTAATCAGGGCCATGTCAGCGTGGGTCTGGCTCACATACGTCGTGCATAATTTGCTATGGAAAACCGTCAATTCATATTGCGGCTCGGGTACGGCTTAGTTCTAGGGTATGGTTTGGGTATGGGGGGGGGGCCTCCCCAGACCTTTTGTGAAAACGGGCATAAAAGCTTTTAAGGTCTTTGCAAGCTGAGTGTTCCTGCTGGAGGAAGGAGCATTCTCACTTTTGTAGTTAGTGGGACGTTAGATGCCAAGCCAGCAGGTTGCCGTTGTTGAGTGTACTCCCAGTAGGCGAACCATCCCATGCTTCAGCACATCTGACCCACAGTCCAGTTCATTTGAATAGTGGGATCACTCCATACCGTGTTCAGGCAGAGTACGCTTAACCGTGCCCTGACCCGCTCGGAACGGTGGGCCAGAGTACAATTACGCCTCGTTTCCACCAACACGGAGCTGGTGCTGGTGCCGGTGCCGATACTGGGCTGGTCTCGCATGGTTCTTTTTGAGAACCAGCCTGGTTTCCACCAATTTAAAAAAAGAACAGAACAGAAATGCTGCATAGCGGGAAGTGAAAGTAAAGTAAAGGTTAATCTGTATTTCATTTTTTGGATTTATTTTGCCGAACCGAAAAAAAACAGTTTCCGGAGTATGATTCGTTGCGCCCTGTCTCCATTCCCTGTATCCACTTTTGTCTCTGTAAAGGCTTTATAGAGACAAAAGTGGATGCAGAGTGCACTACCTCTTACACTCTGTCTGTGTATGAGTGAGTTTATTTTCGCTCGCTGTTTTACTGCTATCCTTTTAGGGATTGCGCAATCAAAGAGTCATATCTCTTTGCCACTCAAACACCACAATATTTTATTTATTCAACCTGTAACATATTTATACTTTATTGTTAAACATATTTATCCATTATTATTAAATCTGGCTAGCAGATTGATCTTTTTTTTTCACAAAATAAAAAACATGATGTACCGTTGCGTCATGTATGTGAATTATACAAGCATTTTAGTGCAAATTAATATTATATGTAAAATATCTTATTTTCAGCTAATACAATCCACACAATTGTACATGTTTTATGACGTTTTGTCTCCGTAAAGGCTCTCCGACTGTGTATGTTCTTCTCGCTTGCTGTTTTACCACTGACCGTTTAAGGATCGTGCAGTAATGCTAAAAACAACTAAAAACTGAACTTTGCTGTCCGCCTCATGATTTCTTCGACACTCAAACGCCATAATATTTTATTTATTTGACATGTGACATATTTATACTTTATTATTAAATCTGGCCAGCATATCAATCTTTAATTTTTCTCAGAATAAAAAAAAGATGGTACCTTATTCCGCTAATAAGCTGGCAAGATGTTTCACTGCCAGCACCGCTGTTATTAGACTAACTATCGGTTATGGATTGAATTTTCTGGGTATACAGAAGGTTTGGACACCATAGGCCGTCCCACTTTCGCTGACGTTACTGTACCACATTCTGAGCCCAGCTTTTCTGCAGTGCCACGCTGGAGCCATTTTTTCTGACCCGGGCCATTTTTTTGTGGTGGAAACACGTGGAACCAGTGCCGGATTGGGAAAAAGTCCGGCTTCAGCACCGGCACCGCTTTGGTGGAAACGAGGCTTTATTCGGACTCGAGCCTTTTCTTCAGGTTGGACCTGGTTAAACTGTATGACTCCATATCTCCAGTCCAGAAAGCTGTGTCATGGACCTTCAGCAGGTCTTGGACATCTTCAATCTGTCAGGGTTTCCTGTTTGGGTCTTTTCAATTGTAACATTGTCCATGCAGTACTTATATATATGAGAGAACAGTTATGGTGTATCCCTCTATGTCCAAGTGTGAAAGCAGGTGCCAGTTTGTAGATTGAAAAGTGTCCAGTGTCTGAGCAGAGGCCTCCTCAGGCCATAACTATACTGTCTTTACTCTGGAATACTCTGGATTTGATTATCACTGGTGTGTAGGCAAGGCATCAGGAGCAAAGTAAGGTGATCAGACAATCCCAGATGGAGGAGGGTGCTGCTTTGTGGACATGATCCATAGACATATCAGATAGTTGTATTGTGCTTTCACACCTTGTACCTTCACATCTCTTTTCTGCATAAGTAGCTTTCTTTCTAAAATGTTAACCTCTGATTTGCAACAAACTGCTGAAACAGTTATTATTGATCAGTGTCCTGGAAACCCTTTGTATTTTACTGCGACAGCATCTTCATGCAATGTGTAGAATACACACACACACACACACACACACACACACACACACACGCACGAACACAGACCATTGAGAGTGAAGGTCAGGCCGTTCATCTGGAGTTGAGGGCCTTGCTCGAGGTCCCGACAGACATGTGACTATTCTGCTGAGGCCAGCGCTCACACCAGTGACCTTCTGATCACAAGTACAGAAGCCTCGTCCCCTGTGTCACACACCAGCCCATGGCTGCTGCATTTCAGAAGTGCATGACAGTTTAGGCAGCGAGGAGCATAGACCTTCATACGGAGCCCTGGCTGTCTCTTCACCCCCTGCCCTGCACAGCTGAAGCCTGTTTGCTTGGAGAGCTGGGAGTCCCTCCCTCTTGCTAGCATTCCTCCTGGGTCCATGTCAGAGGGTCTGTCTGGGCGTCCATATTGGACTTGGATGTTTGGTTATAGCACAGCAGGAAGCCGGAATCTCAGCAGAGTGAGCTGGGATATTTGGCCCTGCATCAGCTTTGCTTGTTGCTCTTCAAATGAAACATCCGCAGCATCATTAAGAGATGTTGTACATGCTGTTAATAATCACGTTCTGGTCACCACACAAACTCCAGGGCTGTTTCCTCTCTGCCTGAAAGCAATTAGACCCACAGGAAACCAGACTCTCTCTATCTGCCTTGCTTTATTTCCTTCTGATTGCAGAGTTCTCTAAATCTGACCAATGTGTGCATGCAGTCAATGCGAATCACTCAACCATATGTTCTTTTTTTTTTGCCCCTGTGTCAGTTTGCCTGTTTTATTCATCTTTAAATCCATTCCTTATGTAGCTGACATCTATGCTGTTATATAAACTTTAAAGAATTTTAGATTCACAATAACAGGTTACCCATTTGCAGTGGGCAAACTGTACCTCATATCTTTGTTTTCCAGTGACAGTCACTCTCATTGTACAGGGGGAGAGGTGTTCCTTCTCTATTCAGATGTGGCACTACTTCCTGACTGGCCTCCGCAGAGACCTGTGGGCCATGCTGCCACCGTGGGTGGCCCAGAAGGTGCTTGCTGAAATCCTGAGCGGTACCCTCGAGGTCCTGGCGTGTCGGTACTCTCAAGCCTGCCCCACCTACAAGAGGAGCCAGCAAATCAGGTGCAGATTGCAAAACAATAAGGGGGGCAGCCCACCGTGAAATGTTATTGCACAGGTTCACAGCATCGCGCCCAAAATGAGTGGAGGGTCAGTTTATGCTGTTTCTGATTGGCTTGTTTGTCCCTCTCAGTTGAATTTACATTTGCAAATTATACACAGGTCTAACTTAGTCTACCTACCTTTTTAAAAATAATGTATTGTTTTTAAATCGTGTTGTTATACTATGAATATGATTTTCCAAGTTTGTATCTTTAACAAGCATTTAAAAGAAGAAAACTCTTTCAGTCCTCTTGCCATTAGATTAAATGCTGAATGCTTTCCTCTGGTCAAAACCACCCACTGTGAAAACAGGTGATAATGTGTGTCTACACATATCGAACATCCCCAGCAAACCCATGTAGTTCAGCACTCCAGATTGGCAGGACACGTTTCCCTTTGTTACCTCTGTCCGTGCTTCATCACATTTGGACTGGCTCCAGCACGATGCATTAGCACATACTTAAAGTGTTTAAATGTGCCGTGAGCACACGCTCCCCCACCGCTGACCTGTGAGACTGAGCAGATTGCCCCGCGAGCTGGGCCTCCATTCTGGCTGGGGTTCCCAGGCTGAACATTGCTATGAGGGCACCTGGTCACAAGCTCCGTAAGATAGCAGGAAAGAGCGCCTGGCAGCTTGCATGTCTGCCAGGCTGGTAAGCTCCTGCGTTCCTTTGCCTGTTTAAGCCCCTCTTCCCAACTGCTGAGAGCCTTTGATGGGAATTCTGGAAGCCGGTGGAACATAAAGATTTTGTGCCAGATGCTCAGCGGACCCGTGACCATCGGCGCAGCACAAAGCAAAGTCCTTTCCTGACTTTCAAAGAACAGCAGACAATGTGTAACTAAAACATTGAAGATACTTAATACCATAACGTCAAGATCAGACAGCATTTCTTTCAGAACTTCAGTATGCCAATAGCAATATAAAGTGTCATACCCATTTAACATTGCAGTGTACACTTCTGGCTGGAGACCTGGTCTATTCCATTGTTTGCACAGGGTTGACATCACCGCCGTGTTACTGGTTGTGGAGCAGCTGGTGTGGAGCGTGTCTAGCAGCCTTGAAGAGCTGCTCCAGCCCAGCAGGACTGTCTGCCCATGGATCTTCTCAATCCACAGCCTGTGCAATCAGCTGCTGGCCGTGCTGGTCCTTGTCACAGCGCCCCTGTCAGAGCTTCACCGGTACTACAGCTCATGCTCATAACACCTCTCATATGAGCTGTAGATCTGAGTCGTCTTTCCCGTCTAGTCTATAGTTCACACGGTTTTGCTTTATGAGGCTTTGTGCACATTCAGCATTCCCAGAGGGCTGTAGATCATTACTAGTCTCCTTACTCAGTGCTCTAGAAACAAAAAACCTTCTGGGACGGAATGGACTCTCTTTGAGTTGATTTAACCCTGCCCATTTTACTTTGTAGGCAGAGTAATTAGCTCATGATAGCCTCACCATTAAGGTTCCTGCTGTTTTGCATGGCGCCGCTCGCTGGTGGAGCTTGTTGCTCATCATCTGTTCAGTCCAGTGCTTTTACCTGAGGAAGAAACTCGCTCTCTGTGGTATTTGCTGAACTGATATGGTTACCTCATATTTGTCTTGTTAGCTACAGCTATTTCTCATGTGCCCCAGATTTTGTCAGGGAGGTTCTGGTGGAATTTCATCCGCTACCACAGCGGCGGACTCAGAGGCACGAGGTGTGTCCTGGCTGACAGCCATCCGGCCGGCGTTGTTTCCCCCGGAGCCCCTGCGGTGCGTCTCCACATTCCTGCTCTAACGTAATAAGTACACAACTATCTTAAATATAAACCTAAACAATAGAATGAAATTTGGATTTCACTCAAAGATCGTTTTTTTCATTTTATTCATATTAAAGGACCCATAAATCTTTCGCAGTGCTGTCACAGAAGTGTCTGGACTAGATATTGTTTATATTTCCGAAATGTGTATATTTGGTATTGATCACAGTCTCCTTCACATGTACAATACTCCTGTGGCCACAGCCTTGAAATGTAATATAAAACAGATGCAATAATCTTTGGAAGAACTTTATTGCATGAATAACATGGTGTCTAAAGTTATCCCCTCTTAACTGGGGCACGAACTATGAAATTCAGATCCAAACAAATCAAGTAGTGAATAGAGCAAGAGAGTCACCCTGTAGATAGGCACACTTAAAAAAGCAACTGATGATGTCATTATGTGAAAAATAAGGCTTTATTTATGGACAACTAATTCTTTATGCTCGTTCTCCATTCTGTCCTTATGTTTTCTTCAATTAGCAGGTCAGACAGCATACATTGTAAGGGGTTGACAGTCTTATAAAAGTGAACAATAATAAAAGTGCAAAAACATGCATCAGTCCAGTAACATCTCATATTACAGAAAGCTGCACATTCCCAGTTTTTGCAGAAGGTCTGGTTTGGGCCAGTAATGTGATTTTTATAATAATAGAGTTGTTAAGGGGGATTATTTTTTAATTTGCTGCGATGCAGGGTTATAATTTCAAACAAGAGCTTTTCCATTTAAACAGTGTGGTGTACCAAGTGCTCCTTTTTGCATCCTTTTCTTTCTTTCTTTCTTTCTTTCTTTCCTTTCAGTTTGTTTCTTTATTTCATTGTACTTTTTTGGAATTCGTCAAAGTATGCATATTTCAATAATCATTTTGTGGTTTTGGGGTGCTGCCAGGTTTTAATTGGCTTTTATGTAGCCACGATTAAACTTCATTTCTTCAGCTGCATTTAAGTAAGCAAGAATGGCAGAATTGACACTTAGAGGTTAACATTACATTTATGGTTCAAAGTATTGCATTAAATCCATGAAGTGGTCCATGTCAGACATCTTAAGGTTTCTACCTTTCTTTGTTTGTAGTTCTAGCACAGTGACATCAAATGAATTTACCACCAAACATCTGCTAAAACTGATGTCCTCTCAGCCCGACTGTGACCATAAATTACTTCTGCAAAGCCTCTTGGACGCTGACTGCATCCTTCTCAGAGTTTTGCTCGACAACTCTTGTAAGAACTTATATGTTTCTGTTTCACATTGCACTTTAATAAAAACTTGACTTCAATAAGATAATTAAATGAATAAATAATAAGATAATTAATAAAATGTATGTGTTATCTATTGATATATTTATTATTTTTATTACCTGTTTTGTCTGACTAATATATATATATATATATATATATATATATATATACACACACACACAGAGAGCAGTAGTTTTGAGACAATGTTATTTTGAGATGTACACCATAAACTACAGCATCTGTGCATTTATGCATCCATTTTTTGTCCTTTTATATTTTATTGTATACATGAAAAGTGGTTGTTCTGGTCCTGTTTTTTTTTCTTTCAGGTTCTGTCTGCTGGTATAATGGCAGCGTAGAATGACAAAATTGCTAACTTTCCTTTCTATATAGCATCATATTAAGTACATCTGTTGTACTTCTTTGAACATGTACAAGAGCTCTAATGGAACTGGTAACATCTTCCCTATTGAGAAAATGTATAGTAATGGATAGTATCCTTTAATGTAGATATCATTACTGTATCAGCCTAGGACAGTAAAAAAAAGAGAAAAACTGAACAGCAGGAGCAGAAACTGAAAATGTGACCTTTAAGGAGTTTTTTTTTTCCCTGCTAAAACCTTTAAATACTTTTGTGCATTTGCGCATTAATTTATGTTACATCGACCACAATAACAGACATACTCTTTAAAAGTTTTTTTTTGGGAGTGGGGGAGAATATGATCACGTTACATCATACAACTACCGCCATTGAGATCATAGCCAAACTAATTAAAAGCAAATAGCTACACTAGCCGGCAGATACATTGTGTCCAGTTCTCTGTAGCCAAAGATTGTTCAGTGCAGAGCCAGCTACCGCACTCTTATACTATACACCTTAAATAGCCAGCTTAGGCCAGCTTCCAATTAAAGTGCTCCAGAGCATTCCTTTGCCGGGGAAGTATGACAGGTATAGCTGTCGCCCATGCATCAAGGTCATAGGTCCTTGTGAGTGACTGCGAGTGGCTGGGTAAACTCCACAGAGAGGCGGGTAGTTCATTTATCACAACTCATCTAGGCTTCTGTAATGGGATCATTATTAAAAAGCCAGGTAGTTAACCTGCAGTGCTGCTCAGCACCCCAAGTGGAAATTAATGTTGGACCTTCCCTTAGCTGTTGACGTGATAGTATCCAGCGCATCGTCCCCTTAAGGAGCAATTACCAGCCTGACAGAGTACAAGGCACTTCTGTTATCCATATAATGCAAAGTAATGGAGTGATTGTAGGTCAAAGGATGTTTGACCACTTGCTGCGCCGTGGAAAAAAAAAATCAATTTCCATCATTCCTTCACTAGTGGATTTTTCCATTTCTTATTAAGCCGGCAATATTAAGGCCCCATCCTTTAATACGGCAGGTAATTCAAGTCTGCCATTTTAAAACAGTCCGACGTTTGTCAGGAAGCTGAGGCCCGCGGCAGCCTTGCCTTCCATCATGCCTCCTTTCGGGGGCTCTATCCCGCTCACTCACTTATTCAAACAGCTGTCATCTCCCACAAAGACTGACAAATGCTGGAGCACGGCCACTGCTAGCTAACTGCTGCTACCCTCTTTAGCTCCCCTCTGCCTGCTTATCCTCCCACAAGGACATGCTGTCACAGTGCATTCACTGTACCTGCTGGACACCTGTCCATAAGGTCCCCTTTCAAATGATTTTTATGATTTTACCCTCTTTCGTATGGGAGGACCTTGAAATAGGTATTATAGTGTAGGGCACTTTTAAAGCCTTGTTTTAATACCAGAATTTTGAAAGACTTGTATGCTCTGTGTGGTCGTACCGTCTGTATTGATTGCCTATTGATCTTTTGAACTTTGTTCCATCACTAAAATGCCAATTAAATTAAAAAATTAAATTCAATTAAGAAAACACACACACGCTTACAGTACATTCATACACACACACACACACACCATACCCCATTTTGACAGCCATTGTCTAGGTGGATTTTTGGCTCTTGTTCAGATACAGCTAGAAGTTTTTCTATTGTTATTTTTCTCCTCAGATTTCTGCATTGATGATAGCAGAAATGACCCCGATAGCCACAAGCATGGTGATGCTTTCATGGAGGCTGTTTTCTCTGTGCTGCTTCCCCTAAACAACATCCCTGGGGCCCTGACTCTTGTACTAAAAAACTACTTTGACAAGAGGCGCTTATGGGATTTTTTGTATAACATGACAGGTAAATCAAATACTTTCATTGTATTTCACGTGTTGTTGACCTCTTTTTGAGTTACAAATGTTGTGAGGTCACATTTCTCTAGTTGTTTTCCCTAACAGAAAACAGTGGCAATGATCTGAATCCACATTAAAAAGAAATATATATAGACTGACATAGCAGCAGACAGACTGACAAAAATTCTGCTGAAAATACAAAATATTACTGTTTTCTTGTACTTGTTTAAATTTTGATGTCATTCACAGTAACACAATTTATGTAGCTTTCTGTGCGTGATTGTAGATTTGTGTGTTATGTGTCCTGGGTTATAGGAGGCAAAATGAAACATTTCCTGTTGCGATAATGGCTGCACACCAATTTGGTGCTGAAACATAGACTACAATTATTTCTTGACACTTCTTATTGGGAATGCTTTGATTTTAGGTTTTAATCAGAACTCCTGTGGAGATAGTCATTCAGTTTAGTATTTTTTTCCATCCCACATAAGTGCTAATTATTATTGCATAAATTAGACAAGTTTAAGAGGATGGTTTACATGAGACTGAAAAGACACAGTGCTTAGCTTGGTCCAATAATCTCAATGTCATTGTTAATTTCTTCTCCTGCTTGAGTAATTAGCTTAGTTCCTAACATGACCCCTGACGGTAGAAACATGTTGTAATTGAACTTTAGATAATACATGTTCCAGACAAGATTATTAATCTTTTTACATTCTGGTCTTTTTCATTTTTACAGCAACAATTCTACTCTTATGTGTACTGTGTTTGTTTGCAACATAAAATACTTCAGTTTTTCAGTATTTTATATTTTACATCAGTATTTATTTTGAGCATTTAGCTATGTTTTTTTTAATCATTCCTCAACTGACATACCTATATATTCAGCTCATTGGGAAACTGGAATTAATTAGATCAATTATTATGCCCGTACGTTTTTTCATTCCTCAGGTATATTGATTTCTGCTTTACGTCTTTTAACAAAATACCTATTTTACGATTTCATGGATTCTGGCATTCCACACCTCAGAGTTAAAATAGAAATGATTTTACAGAGAACATTAGTCAGTACTGGTAATGTCAGCTTAAAGGAGCTTTGCAGCGTCAAAGCCCAGTGTGAGAAGCTGAAAGTTGTCAAGACATTTTGTTGTAGTACTTATTTTTATGTATTATTTGTTTATTATTTGTATTGATGTTTTTATGTTTTAAAAATTGGCTAAACTCTGTATAAAAATGAATTATCAAAAAGATACTGAGGTTAAATAGCCATGCCTCACAATGCATTTGCCATGATAAAATTATCTACTTTTTTGTGATTTAACTTTTTTTAACTGTCTTATGCTGAAACTTATAATGTGGGATTTTAATGATTTTTAATCCTTCAGTTTTATAAGATGATGTAGCTACTGAATTTAATTTAAATGTATTAGATTTTGAAGTGCTTTGTGAAATATGCCCCAAACTTACCTTTATAAAGTCCATACTGTAGAAGATGTGCGTGCTGGACTCTTAAACGTTAATTACGCTTGATGCCTCTTGTCACCCATTCTGTCTTGAAGCAGAGGAGGGTCCAGCGAGGTCGGCGGTGCTCAGGTGCGTGAGAGCAGCACTGAGCAAAGCGGTGCTCAGTATCGTCAGCCACCTCATCGCCATGGTGCTGGACCACCAGGCCTGGGAAGATCTCGCTACCTTCTTGCCCAGTCAGGGCCTGCCTGAGAGTGTGCTGAGTAAAGTGCCGAAGGAGTGGCGTTACGTGGCCCCCAACGCCAGGGGGAGGCAGGCCAGCAAGGGTATGTATGCAGCATCTTTCACAATCAAGGCGATTGAGGATTTTGAGAAACAGACATGAGCATAATCTGTCCCTGCCCCGTTGTCTCTCTCAGGTCACGACGAGCTCATGATACAAGCCCTTTCCTTCGTCTTTGCTATCCTGCCCTCCGCGATAGCCTCCCTACCCCTGCCTCTGCGCTTCCTGTTCTGTACCGGCGAGAAGCGCGTTTCCCAGCATGCCGAGCAGCTGAAGCGCACAGGCCTGCTGATTTGGGGTTTAGTCAGTTGCCTGTGCCAGGACCTGGAAGAGGGTGGCAGGCTCACGCTGGATCACAGGGCCGCGGATAAGTTGGCATTGGTCATCGAGTGCCTCCAGAGTGCTATGGGCAATCAGAGGGGCGGAGCCAATCCCGTGGTGCAGAAGGTGCTTCAGAAGCTAGAGGAGAGCCGGCCCAATTGGACGGTGATGCAGCTGCAGAAGGCCCGAAAGCTGTGTGCTGGGGGGTAAGGGCAGCCGCGGAGCCATGAAACGCAATGACAATAAATAATTAGCTGTCTGCAATAACTGATTTGATTTTTGTTTTAGTGACATAACTTTCTTTCTTGTGTGCTGTATTTTAATATTGAATCTTTCATCTGGATGAATAAGCCCAATGCATATTTTAAGAACTTGGATTGAATTATGGAAAATATCAGTTATGTTTAATTACGAAATCCATGTGTATAAAACAGACAGCTAGTGCATGGTCATAAACTCATCAGACCATTTTTAAGTGACGGACCCCAACTTTTCAGGAGGTAAAACCTGGCAAAGTCACAGACATATTGATTCTTATGACATATTATTTAGAACAGAAGAAAACAGAACATAAATAAATGAGTAGATTACCTCAAGTGTTCCAGGAAACGCTGTGGATTTAGTGACAGGAAAGACCAAATAAAAAAAGGGAGGGTTAAAGGAGGAGTGATTATGTATCACCTGTCTCTGGCGTTCTCCAGAATCATTACTATTCATTAAAGTAACCTTCACTCTGAAGTGACGCCTGAGTTGTAAACAATCAGAGGACAGTGCCTCTCTGAGAGTGAGCTCGTGAGTCCCAAAAATGAAGCAATCCCCATCTTTGCAAAGTAATTTGTAGAGGAGAAGATGATTGTTTTCCATCATGGTGACCCTGACTTGGCTGACTGGATGCATACACAGATTAAGATGAATGCAGTTATTCCTTGGCTGAGGTCTGCCTCTTTCAGGGCACATTCTCTCTAATGACATGATTGATGGGCTGTCCCAAATCCAGAAAGGAACTCATTAATCACTGCGCTGACTGAATCCAATCATCTGCCTCACCTGCACGGTGATGGACAGGAAAGGATACAACACAGGTGCTGACAGCGATACACTCTCTGGACCAGGGGAGACCTCGACTTCCTCAATGTCAGCCCACTAAAGGTGCCCTGGCACCAGATGCGGTTCCTGCTTCCTTATAATTAAAAAAGAGGGGGGAAAACGAGGAGATGAGAAGGAAATGAGAAGGGAAACCGTAACCGGATGTTTGTGTTGTTTTTTTAGCTGGTTATCGGTGATGGTGCGGTTATGAGAATCTATAGTGAGATGGGATGTATTACACACACACACACACACACACACACACACATAACCACTGCACTTCAGGGTTTGTAAATTATCATCTGTGTTTTTTTTATTGTTCCAGATCTAATACTCAGTTTTTAATTCTACACGGAAATAACTTTGGTTTTGTACCAATACTTCGTTATGTAAGGGTACCATGTACAAGAGACTGATAGCAATTGTTTTGCAAGTGAATTATCAAATGAAAAGTGAGAGTGGCCGTGTTGTACCATTCAGATCAGCCAAAAAGAAAAACAATTAAAATCTTACAAGAGCTTGATATTTGCAGCTCTGACAACAATAGCTAGTTATAATCTCAGTTGTTTTTAATTTGTGCACCCATGTAGGCTGCAAGGCAGCAGAGTAGATAGTGCTTCCTTTGTGTTAGTGCTCTTCTCATGGCTCAAGCACAATGGGAGACTGATAAGTGGATTTTGCAGGGAAATTGTTTGTTCCGGCTTGGGCATGTTTAGCTGTGTATCTCATTCGCCAGCTTTCAGCTGCTTGCTGCACTTTTAACTCGCTTGCATTACTACATGGGACAGAATGTACTGTCCGAACCACGACCTCAGATTTAACATGGTCTCTTATTGGATGGCCTAAAGACATCATTATGCTTGATATTTATCATTACGTGTCTCACATATTAAATCCCTACGTTGTCTCTGAAGGCGCCAGGCTGCTGCAGGAAGCTGGGGGGGGGAGGGGGGGTGTCTTTAAACCATTGGAGGCCGGTGGGGTTTTAGATGGAAAAGTGTATTTTGGTTTCTGTCCTACCTCATGCCGCCATGCTCTCTCCCCCTCCCGGTCCCTCTGTCAGCGTGTTGGAGTCGGTGCAGGCCGGCGTGGCGCCGGGGAGAGGCGGTTCGCCTGAACTGACTGAGCAGAAAATAGGCCTGATGCTCCTGGAGGTCTGCCACCAACCAGGTGGCAGCGAGAACCTGAGGCAAATTTATCACATCATCCGACTCAATGAGGTAGGGAAACGGTCTTTTTGCCGAGCAATTAGGTGTGTGCTGGCCTGAGGCGGCGCCGGCTCGCAGCTAAGGGTTACATGAGGAGCTTTGCCGGCCCACAGATGCCCCCTGTCCCCCCGGCCCCCGCCGCGGCAGGGCGCTGCCAGCTTGGGGCACGAGGGCCTCAAGACAGGGGGGGGGGGGGGATGCCTGTCATGACATCGCTCCTCCACAGTGCTGCTGATGGACACAACGCTGGCGCCAAGTGGCCACCGTGACCAAAGTGAGGATTTGCAGAATGCTGTGCAGAATGCTGTGCAGAATGCTGTGCTGAATGCTGTGCAGAATGCTGTGCAGAATGCTGTGCAGAATGCTGTGCTGAATGCTGTGCTGAATGCTGTGCAGAATGCTGTGTATAATCAGGAATCCTGAAAAAAAAAAATATAAAAAAGATATGACTGAATTACTAAATGTGAATCATAAGTGATAACAATCCCAATGATAAGATAAGATGATAAGATAAGATGTGGGCAGCAGTGGGCTCATGGTTAGGGAGGTGCACTTGTACTTGAAAAACTGCTGGTTTGAATCCCCGACCAGCAAGGCACCACTGAGGTACCCTGAGCAAGGTACCGCCCCCAAGCCCTGCTCCTCGGGTGCTGAATTAGCTGCCCCCTGCTATGTCACAATGTCACATATGGGTTAAATGCAGAGGACACATTTTGTTGTTGTGCACTGTGTGCTGTGGTGTGTCGTCAGTGACCACTGATCACCTAATTAAAATTAAATTAATTAAGATAAGATAAGATGAACTTTATTAATCCACAAAGGGAAATCTCAGCATTACAGAAGCAGTTATAAACAGGATTAGACAATAAACAGACATTTCCCTTATATCAGGGGTTTATTTTAGAATGGAAAAAATATGTGGGGAAATATCTGATGCATTTGCCTGACGATGGACTGTGGGTGAGCGCTGGTGCTTTGAGCTGTAAAGTCTGTACAGTAGAAAGGTTAGAGTCACCACTGGTGTCCAGTAAGGCCTCAAGCTGCAGCCCCCACTCACCAGATAAGGTCAAAGGTAGGACAGGACGAGTGGAGAGGGGGGAGGCCTGGCAGCTGTGAAAGATGGATGTATGTCTCGAGTTTCGATGCTGCGCCCCGTCGCCAGCTCACCCTTAGAACGGCCGAAGAGAGGGAAATTAGGAAGAAAGTTATGATTAAACTTCTGGCTGTACTGCATCTATACATATCCTGTCCTTTTGAGTGTCCTTTTCACATTCTATTTCTGTACTGTCTGATTAATTTGTACTTTTGAAAAGTCATTAATTTTGGGAATGAGGGAAACGAATCATATCTATAAAAATAACAATGAAAACATTGGAGAGGCGCTAAACACTTGAAATGTCTTTTGGGTCCCCGTGTGCAGCAAATGTCCAGGTTCCGTTTTGGAATAGGCGTTTTTTTCGTTATATCACAGCTTCCTTCCGCTGCTGGTGTATCTTCTCGCTGGCATTTCTTTTCGTTGTCGTGTTTGAAGGATCTGCTGAAGGCTCAGCTAGAAGCCTCCCGGGGCCAGTCAGATGCTCCTCAGAGGATGGTGGACTTTAGCCTGGCCAGTGACCCTCGTCCACCAGACTTCAACCCGCTGACTTGTTTTCAGCACATCGGGTTGAAGGAATTTTCACAGGTGGGTGAACTGTTGTAACGTCTTATAAAATAATAGTTTTTGATTTTTCAAATCCATAATACTCAATAACTATATACTTTTTGAAAGGTATATAGGTATTTTGGCACAGCTGGAACCTCCAAATATTTGAGTGCATTTAACATTAGTACCATAATATTGTGGATTACTTGAACATGATCTTTTACGTGATTTTTTTTTCACTTGAAGCAGGTCATGGGCACAGTGAGGTAACTTTGGAACTATGTCAAGGCCGCTAAAGTTCTTATCGAGAGATTTCTCTCTGTGGAGGTGGAAACGGTGACGTGTGTTAAAGTTTTGACAGCTTTTTGAATGTTTCAATGTGAACTTTGGAATTCTCTGTAGGTCGTTTTCAGAGCAATAGTTTAATAGGTAGAAGTGACAAAAGACTAAAGAAACATTAAAAGAGGGAATGGAAAAGGAAATTTTGAATCGCTTTAGACATTAAAAAGGCCAATTTCTTAAAGCCTGTCAACAAAATTTCTTTCCCTAGACCTTTCTCATTCCTCACAATGTAAGACTGTATATTAGCTGTAAAAGTAAAAGGTTTTTCTGTTATATGAATTTTTTGGAATTGTAATATGGGTAATTTATATGGTATAGTGATCTTCCTTTTTTCACCATTTTCCCACTATAAGGACCATGTGGGTGTTTCCTGGTAGCCGTCTTTTTCAGAAATCACACTTAAATGTCTCTCCTCTTCAGCGTGGGCTGCATTTCCGCACATAAAACAACCTATTAGGAAAATGATTAAACCGCCTAGTATGCTTTAGGTGGCCTTGTTGTTTGTCAAATCAAATAGAGGGGAAAAAAGTCACGGCCATCAATCAAGAGGTAGTTGTTTTCTTCTCCCTTTGTCAATAAAATTCTGCCCGGAGTTAACAGTGACATTTCAGCAATCAAAGCAATCAGATTTTTATTTGCTTTCCCAACAAAGAGCCTATTTCCAGCTTTCGTAGGGGGCTGGGCAGGGCGCCATTAAAACAGTTTGAAGAATAACGACTCTCCAAAATTGATTTATCTTCTTATAAATGATGGCTACATCCCCAAATGGATTTATAAATTAATTGCTGTCTTATTGGAATAAAAACCTTCTTGTGCAGACATGATGAATATCATCTGTCGGGGTCTTTGCTCAGGACCCCCTCCTTCTTAGTTAGTCCACCACAGCTGGAGTTCTAATTTACTGATCATATTAACTCTGATTAATAACTAACAATGGCTTTCTCCCATACATCAACAGTCAGCCATAAGTGAATGGAACTGGGACTGGGCCCAACTGCTGCCAGCTTATCTGGGAATGAGTCCGCTGACCTTGGGCACACTCCTGGCTAACAGGTAATAGCTTATTTTTTTCCCCTGCAACTGATGCCTGTCATGTCAGAGGTTGTGCCTTGTTTTATAAATGTATATATGAAGCGTTGTATAATTTCATCATGGGCCAGAGCAAACCTGCAAGACGAATGGAGGATGTGTCCTGTCAGTGTGGCTGTATCGTGTGACATATGTAGCATAGACTCGTTTCTGTTATGCTTTTCTTTCCTTTTTTAAATCTGAATTCTTGGCACTGCAATTCAATAGATGTGCTATTAATAGACAATAGATATGCTATCAATAGGGAAGTAGAAAGCTGTAGTTCAGAGGATTACACCCCCCCCCCACCGCCAAGTTATGACATACTGTAATGCCCCTATTTTGGGCTATAAACAAAATTCACATCCGTTGTGTATTCATTAAGTTAGCACATACAAGGCTCACAGAAAGCCATGTCATGCTTCCTTAATTCAGTAGTGATATTGAAAAATTATTGGTTCTTATAATAAAAAATCATTATTTTGCTTGTTTGCAAAAATATAACAGCACATTACAAACAACTAGTAGTCATAAGTAAAACATTTATTTCAGGTAGTAGTAAATTGAAAATTGGTTCTAAAAGAGAGGCAGTGGACTTAAAAAAGCAAAAAATAAAAAATAAAAAGTTCATTGACAAGCTGTCTCACTGGGTATTTTTTAATTAGTAACACCTTTGCAATAATATAAAACACCAAACATTTGTGTTTAGTATCCCTTTGGGAGCCAATGACTACAATTGCAATTAATAGCAAGAACAGAACTGAATGAGTCAGTAAAAAAAAATATGACACTTAAATAGAAAATCTCCACGTGCAGATATGTTAAACATTGCTTGTCGATGGACTTTTGTTATAAAACCAATAAATTTGCAGCATCTTTATAGAATCAAAAAGCATGCCAAGACTTTGTATGCGCATTGCATGTGCAGTAGGCATTAACGTATTTCAGGGTTTATTTGTGGAAGGGCTTTGTGGTGGAGCCCCATACCTCCCCCCCCCCACACCATGGTGGCTGGACTCGGCGGGGGCTCTACCACTCACTCCAGGCAGCTAGGTGAATCTCCAGATGTTTGTGGGCCTAGCACAGTGGGCTGGGCTGTGGGATCACCACCTCACAGCAGCGGGAACGTCCGCTTCCAGGAATCGGAGCTCGGAATGGCGACGGGAGAGGATAATATGAATGCGTTGGAGAGAGAGTGCTTTGACTGCACATTAGTGTGACAGGCTTAAGCCTCCATCTCTTGGAGGTAGTGGAGGGGTTAAATGGAGATAGCATGGATGAAGTACCATTGCTGCCTGATTGAAGCAGTACTCAGGTTTCCCAAGTCGAAAGCTCACATACAAGGTATAAATATTTATGCAGGTGTGTGACACATATTAGGTAGCAATATTTCAGCTACTTTCAGTCCTCAATTCAGAGCTGTCATTTTAAGCACTATCAGCTGCCATGAGGCTAGAACACCTTGTCTTCCTGCTACATGAAATCCATTTTAAATCACCTTCATTGTTACACGCACCTTGTAATAAAAGGCAAAAGGCTTGTCTGCCAAGGACGATGTTATAATAAGGGTGAAGTGCGCCGTGTCCGTGTCTCCAGCCTGTTCCACACACTCTTTGCCTGTGTGCCAGTTTGTTGCACATGTGTTAAAAAAAAAACAAAACATACTGTCACTCCTCCCAAATGAGAGTGGGATTATTCATGAATGGCCCTGAATGGTTAATGCTGCACTTCATGATCACGTGTCGAGTGCTGAGCAGAGGAACGAAAGAAAGAGAAGGCAGATCTGGGAATTAGGAAAGAAACGTACAGCGGGGAGTATAAATATGATACGATGCCTCTTAATTTTGCCAGGAATGGTCCTGTGTTTTCCTCACTAGGGATCCGTAAGTTGAGGCAGCACAGTTTGTTCAAGATCAGAAAAGGGAAGAAGGTAAAGCTTTGGAAGAACACTGATACAGGTTTTCTTCTACAAGGTCCCGCTTAGTTTTCTCTATTCCCTTGCTGCTCCCTAGGGACGCCATTTATGTAGTGATATTACATAACGCTTCAGTGAAATAGCATTATTTAATGAAAACTGTACCAAGTAACACGGGATGTTCGGTTTAGAGATTGAGTGGCTTTCTGTCCATTTCTGTTCTTAATTACACCTACTGTAGGAAATCAGTTGTTTGATTGGATGACGTTGGTTCTGAACTGCAACACTCTATGTAATAATTGACTCCAAGAGCTTCCTTAGTTTTGATTTGCTGTGAAAAGATTTTGAAAGATCATCTGTATTTACTGTTGAGTAAGGACTAGTACTATGCGCTGCACTGAAGTCATCACCAGATGCCGATGTTATTATTTTTATCTCTTGATGTGAGATTAGGACAGATGAACTCCCATGCTGTGGCATGTTTGATGGCATAGCAAGATGCATAATCTGCTGCCCCATTACTTCCTTTTTGCTCTGCGTGTAATATTATGTACTTTGATTGTGGGCATTCTCTCTGAGATGGGTGAGCAGAGAGGGAGGCCCTGGACTGGGAGAAGGCAGGAGATAAGCACAGACTGTTAAGGTCACCTCTGCCTTATTCCCCATTAAGTAAGAGCATCCAGATCATCTGTGCTGTCTTCATCATTAGTATATGATTTTGGTTTTGTTTTCCCTTAGCCCAGAAGCGAACATCACAGCTAAGTTGACATCCTTTTTGTGACCCAACAGCAGACGGCTGCATTTTCCATCTTCCTTGTTGGATTTTTTAAACCTATCTGCACTCCTGCCCTGAAATAAGTCCTGTTCCTTTCTCTCATCTTCATGGCATGTTTTTCTGTTCATCGTCCTGCCCAGAGCAAGTCTTACATCATCCTTGGAAATATTGTAGTTAAGATTCAGCACTGTAACGTGTCACATCAAGTTCACACAGATCCAGTTATCTCTCTGCAAACAAAACGCTAAAATAATAATAATAATAATAATAATTGCAGTAATGACAGAAAAAACAGTGCTAAAATAAATGCACCATTTCTCCTTTAAGGTTAAAGAAAACTTCTTCTTCTTTAACAGATTAGTATTAATTCACCAGAAACATGGTATACCAGAATCAAGACCTTTCTACTATCCACTTAAGGCACAACAAATGATACCATGACCCTTTTGTTGTTTGCAAGTTAGGAAAAGTAATTGACTGTTTCTTTTTTTGGAATTTGTGGCATTTAAGGTGCTTTTACATAAAATCGTAGACTGTTAGAGCAGATGAACCATGGCAGAAATGAAAAACTAAACAAGAGGATGACAGAGGTCTGAACCATTGGCCATGTACAAGTCACTTAGTCAGCTCCCGGTGACATCATGTGCTGAGGCAGATTTGGAGATGTGTGCCATGCTGAGGTGCTTTATGGGGGCTGTGCTCTCACTCCTGTATGATTAAACAGGTGAGGACAGGAGGGTTACCTGCCCAGACAGTCACACCGTCTGTGTTCTCCTTCTCTAGGTCAACCAGTATGGCGCAAGATCTCATTGTAGCTTTTGGGGTTGAAAAGCACAATATGGCTGTGGCATTTTCATGGGCCACTTTACTGATTTTTACACACTTTTCTTCAAGATAACATGTTAACATGCAGATTTAAACGGTTTTATTCAGTCATATTTCTTTATATTGTCCAGAAATATGCGGTTTGATAGTGTGAAATTTCTGTATGTCTTTTAAAGAAAGTGTTTTTTCATGGGGAAAAAAAAACACTTATTTCAGTTGCATTTGTAGTCACAGCAGTTTCAAGAGGTAAGCAAATACCATCTGCTCCAAATGATGGCCATATGGTCTGCGTTTTTGTGAAAGAATAAAACAAAAACAAACATGTCAGAATACTTAGGGTTCTCATGAGTGTTGATCCGTGCATGTAGTCGAAGCTCAGTGTGATTTGGAATTGTTGTATTAGCATTTGTTTTTGAAAAGGGGCTCGATAGTCATTTACATACTTTGCGTTTGCATCAATCAATTTATCAGTTAATGAAACCAGCCCTGAAGTGTAGTTTTCTCATTAACGCCATCTCTATAGTGCATTGAAGTAATAATATAACAATTCCCTATTGTTATTTTTATTTATGCCAGAATGCTGCACTTAATATTGTCTTAGTTAATCTTGTTTTTATTTCCATTCATTCATTTATTGTAGAGGAGTATTTCTTTGTACGATATTTTCATTCCTATTCCGCTTCAAGAATTTCATGATGGAAAATAAGGGGAACTAGTCAAGTTGTAACAATTACCATTTTTACTTCACGTCATTTGTCTACTTTATTACAATGACCATTGCAGACCATTGCGAGATCGTCGATCTGAAAGTCAGGAGTATTTGATGTGTTATTGCAGAAAGACATATTTTCCTCTAGTGTTTTTTTTCTTCTGTTCCCCTTTCTAGTTCTTTAGATTGACAGGTTGTGACAAAATGATGTTCATGTAGCTTGAATATACCTTTTTGTCTAGTTCTACATGCTTTTTGACTTTCTGTTTTCGGGTCTAATGACATATTGAGATTTTCATTAGCTTTAACCTGGTGTGGTTTTCTTTATGGAGAGGGTATCTTTGTCGGTTTGTACTGAAGGAGAATAAATCATTGAAGCCTGGAATAGGGCCGTGGCCCCACCTCACATGGTAGAGACGAGCTGAAAGGCTCATTAATCAACCGCCGAGTCACAGATGTGATGGCTTCCACACAAACTGCCAGCAGACTGTGAAAGTCACATCCAACACACTCAACTGTCAACTGAGCGGCCCCTGCACACTTCTCTTCTTCGGCACTCTTTCTTCACTCGCTTCCCCCGCAGTGCTCTGGTTTGCCGAGATATTAACCTGGACTGTCTAAAAATACGCGACAGTAACAAACGCAATCCTGCCGGGTGTTGCCAACTTGCACTTTTTTTATTTAGCTCCCCCAGCAGAAGTTTTTTGTCATGTATGTTCCTGAAAACGCCTAAAAAGCAAGATGAATGAATTTCAAGGCAG